GCAGCCAATATACTTTTGATCCAAAGGCTGTTATTAAATACATCGACCAATAGTTTCTGAATCCAAAGGCTGCAGTTCAAAGTTCGACAGTTGCTGTTAACTTGGCATGAATGTATGGACATATTCAGTACACCATCTTTATAATTGGTGGTTAATAAAATTCACTGGAGCCGACCATAGTTATCGAACTTCAATAAGAAATTTGGCCAATGGGGTAACATTTGATATGATTTCTTTATGACAACAATGTTATATAAAAGGGCTCATTATATGCTTTTCTTTCTATTAATTAATTTAACTGTTGAAAGTTAATCGACAATCGAATACGGTTCTGTCTCCTCATTTAAACAATGGGCTCTCTGAAATTTGCTGCATCAAGATAAAGACTTGTTGAATTTATTGCATCAATAAAAAAAAATCATGATAAAAAAAAACGGAGTCAAAAAGGAGACATAATAATAACAAAAAAAGCACAATCAAAAAAACACAATAAAAAAACATAATCAAAAAACATAATAAAATATTATAGAACAATAAAATACATGTGCGTGATATTTATTTTTAGAAAATGAACCGTTTTTTAAAATACCAAGAACCCATTGGCTCTTTGGAAAACTAATTAAGAAGTACATTACGGAGGTAAACATCCCTTTCCACTTTTACATACTTTTTTTGTCTTGAATTGACTGACTCTTTGCTTATGAGATTAAACGATACTTACAAAAACAAATCGGTGCGTGAAATTATACAAATGATGAAGGAGAAAAAGAAAAGGGCCATTCAAGCAAAGGAGGAAGGCGAAGAAGAAAACAAAGAGGAGGATAACGACGGAGAATAGGAAGGTATTACATGTCTCAAAATTTAAAAACTTTTTGGTGATGACACTTACCCTTTTTTTTTTAGAATATGCTGAAGATCCTGGCCCGAGTACACCAGTTAAAATAAGAAGGCAAAGCAGAAACAGAAAAAACCAAGAACTTTTTGAGAAAAAAATGGAGAAGCAAGCGGGAAGACTTCAAAATAAATCTAAAGTTGTTGCTGGTGATGACGCAAAGAAGTGTAAACGATGCACAGAGGCAGGCGTTTATAATGAGGAAAGAGCTCATACCAGGACTAGATCCCCATTGTGTCCTTTTCATCAGACTAAGAAGCAAGAGGCAATAACTGTTGCGTTAGAGACAAAAATCACTTCAAAATTTACCAGAAAAATTGGGTTGGAGGCATCCATTACTTCCAACATGGATGGGGAAGCAAAGACCATTTTTTGTGGCGATGTTTTAACGCTCGTCAACTTTATGCGCGAGACTGCAATAAAATCAATGTTATTCGCAAATTTCTATATTTTAAAGCTATTACAAAAAAACAAGGCTGACGACGACTGGGTGCTGCCAATGATATTTTTTTCTCCTGTATTTTTCAAATCCTGTCAGCAACTGGTTTGTGGGCGTGATATGAGCAACAATAACACAATGTTTGATAAAGCCGATATAATTAAAAGTTTCAGACAGTACAAATTACTGTATCCGGGAGGCTCACAAGTTTCTACCGATACTGGCGGAATGTTTGACGGCAGTGCCCAATCTAGTTTAGCAACACAGAGCGCCACAATTTTCTCGAATCATGTAGTAGAAAGTTTTGAAAAAAGAATGAAGTCATATTTTATATTTCGTCTGGCCAATGTAAGTGACCCACTGTGTTAATTATTTAATCATATGCTTACATTATTATTGTATCTAGTTTAAGTTCACAAAACCGGAAAAAGTTGCTGTAGCGGAATACTTGTTTAATAAATGTACAATGCTTAATGTTTTGTATGGAGAACAAAATAAAAAAAAAACCAAAAGTGATACTGTTAGAACTTGGATACCACTTTATTATGGACGAAAAAATATAATTAAAAACGTATAAAAAAAATGTATTGATGGTCTATGAGAAAAAACTATGGATATTTATATAAAGAACTGGGATAGTTCTAGGGAGAATAGTAAGCGCCTTATTGGATCATGATGTAATAATCTGGTGATAGTAAATAATCAACATGTCTTTAATTTTAGCCCTTCCATACTGAGTATATAAATATTAGTCAGAGGGATCAACAGTTATAACATCAAATGACAAGCGTAATATTTGTGCTCAGGATCTATTAATATTCTATAGTCCAGGCACATTCGATTGTATTGCTTTTTCAGAATAAATAGTTACTCGCCACAGGGATGTGCCCTGTGTACAGACTCCAACGGTAGGATGAGAACAAGCGGGGTAATGCGTGATTCAGGATTAACTTTTATATTTATTATCCATCCTTAAAGTGATGTGACAATTAACTTTATTATTATATCTATGATATCCTCAACACTCAAAACACCTGTTTGGCCAACAAATATGGTGTCCTCTCCTGCACTCACGGAATACTTGCTGGCATTAATAATGATGTTCAAGGTCAGCAGCGTCCATACACCTTTGACAGTCTCCAAAATTTCTGAAAATCCCGGTATTGTCATTACAAGCTTGTTTAAAATCTTAAGAGCTACGGAAATGTCCAATGTGGCTCAAACTGTTGCTGCGGAGGAGCCTCAAGATTCTGTATCTTTACCTTGGGTTTACAATATGTTGAGCATAACCTGTGAAAATGAAGTTGAAGATACCAACAAAAGAAGACGGTCAGCTTTGGCAAGGAAGATTCGAAACGCTATCATTTCAACAACGCCTGTTGCTTTAAGTAAACCATCATTCCTGTCCGAAGTGAACTTTAACAAGGTACAAGAAAACGTTGGTGCAACACGTCTGCAGTTAGCACAGTCTAGAATCTACCTCTCCGATCCTAAAACCAGAGACCCAGATGTTATTATACCCGAAAGAAAAGATTGTTTTATACCAGAAAATTTCTCTATTCACCATTCCCGTAAAACGTTTTCCATGATGCCTCACTACAGACTGAAACGCCAATACGTAACAATTGATATTGCTACTTTAAGGACTCTTGTTAATAGATCTGACATTATCAAACGTATTGCAATTTATGATCAATCGCTGGATGCATATGCCCGAGATTCGACTTACTTCATGAGTCTATTTGATTTGAAAATACTAGGACAATCTAGAAGGTAACGATTCTGTCTTATAATTTTGGTTCATATAGAAAAAATAACATTTTGTATTATTGCAGTGTCACTGAAATGCTTAACAGAAGAAAAGTCATGATGCGTAATATTTTTTGTACAGACGGGCGTTCGGCCGACTTTTTGTTTACCCAAAGACATTGAAGATATAAAGCTTGAAATGAACGATTTCGAAACATGGGAGATGCAAGACGTAGTCAGATTATGGGGTGCCGATCCGGGTGTCACTGACATCTTTGTTGCGAGCGAAGGAAATGGAAATGATGCGCATGAAATAAGGTCCATATCGACAGCGGACTACTACGTTAAAGCCGGCTATAAAAAAAATCAGGTAACAATGAATTCGCTAAAGCAAGAAGAAGGAATTACTACAACTAAAACGAATATTCCAACCCATCGAACTTCAAAGCTATCAACCTTTGAACAACCTTTACAATATTACTTCACCCATCTAGACACACTATTACAATTCTATGATGGTCGATTTACGGATCTTCGCTTCTCTAATTACCGTGGTCAGCAAAGAATGGATAATGAACTTGTAAACATATTTTGTTTAGGCGGTAAAAAATACAATCCGGACAATAAAACCCACCCACGCAGAAATAAGGCAAAGGCGCGAAAAGAAAAGGAAGAATAAGAATAAGAAAAAATTGACTTTGCAGGTGGGAAAAAGCTCACTCTCGGCGCCAGCAACAGCTTACACTACTGTATCTGTAACAACGAGCGGCCCTTCAACCGAGACTCAAAATCAGAAATGGAAGAAAGCCCCCTTCAAGAACGAGAAGAAAGTGCCTTTGATCGCCTTAGGAAATGCAGTATTTAACGTTACAATGAAAGGAAAGCAATCTGGTATGCTTCATAGGTTAAGGAAAAAGATGGAAGAAGCAAGTGCAGATGAAAGGCTAATTCTGGTGTATACCGATGAGTACCTTACTTCACAGGTAAAATAATGAACGAATCGGATTGTTGTACTAGATATTAATACTTTAATTTAGATGTGTTCCAATCCTTTCTGCTTGCTAAAAACACCGGAAAATGTTCGAATCCCTGATGTCGGAAAGATCTACAATTTGTTGACTTGCAAAGGTTGTAACAAATTATGGAATAGAGATACCAACGCGGCTCGAAATATTTACTCTATTGCAAGTTTTATGCAAAAAAACAACAACTTACGTCCAAGTAGATTCCAAAGACCTGCAACAGACCCCCAATCATCCATATCGTAAACATATGTTGATAATTCGGTAAGTCAATATATTAAATTCAAAAAAAAAAAAATTATAATATTTACGATTTATTTTCCACCCCCAGACATGTCCCCGTGTCGATATTTATGCATTTCTAATTGAGTCAAAAAAAAAAAAAAAAAAAAAAAAAAATGTTAAAACTATACCACAACTTTGATATCATCAATAGCATATATGCTTGTTGATTTATCGAAAAATATCTTGTTTTCACACATTATTGTAGGAGCTACATATTTCGAAAGTTTTCAAAACAATCTTACCCAGGGCTTATGGAAACCCATATTTCCATCCTATAAGTGTCATCCTATTCTGAGCGATTACTTCATGTATATTTTTTTTCCTTTTTATTTCTTAAACTTTAAAACATAAGATTTCTTAAGTTGACTACTTCCAGTCTGGTGCTCACTTTCATAACTGTTAATAACCTTTATCTTCCTTATCCTTAAAGAACTATTACTAGTGCCCTAACACTATACTCTTCCAAAGACACTTATATTCGTCGCAGTATTCTCCTTTATTTCTTTATATTTTATATCTCTCAGTTGACAATTTATAATTTGGTACTCTCCTCTCAAGAACTTTTATCTTACTCTTTGTTTTAATTACAAATTACTACTATTCACTTAAATTCGCCAGTAACACCATCTTTTTAAATTTATTGAGCACATTTTTTCCTCTTAGTTATAATCTTTAACAAAAGTTTATTACCTATTGCAAAAATTTATACTACCATTTAATCCTACTGAAAATCGTTGGTGGAGTATTAGCATCAGGTTCATACTCTCGAGCCTTTGCCTTGATTCCCTCCATAATGTCCTTAAGAGCAGATTTATCGAGATCATCACGTTTACTTAATATATTTTCAACAAAGGCCAGAGGAACATCCGGATAAGCCTGTCTTAAAGTATAATAATCAACAAATATCATGCGGCGATTACTTTCCAGTAGAATGTGCACCTTTTCGATAACATCAAATCTTTCTTCCATCTCTTCGACCGAGGTATATTTTGCAAAGAAGTTGAAAGATAGTCTAACATCATTCTGAATCTTTTCTAGGCATGTATCCATATGGAATTTAGCATTTTTGTGCCGCATTGCTTCCAGATATAGCATGAGGAATCGATCCAACATATCATGAATAAGTTTGTCGAATATAAATTTATTCAAATGGGCAAAATCGTTACAGTAATCCTTCAATGTTTCGATTACAGAAGGAATCAATGGCTGTTCATACCAACGCGCTGTAAACAAGTCAGCAAATACAGGTTTAATATCGCCAAATGTAACCTCCAGTAAAGCTTCTCTAGCACTAGCAGCAATTTGTAAGTACCCATCAATTGCCGTTGACAGTTTGTCCTCTACTTGTGATTTATAATTTGCGTCTACAATCGGCGGCACGCGAATCAAAATGTCATTGGCGAAGTCTGAACATTTTATTTGGTCGTTAGCCAAAGCCATAACATATTCCACAAAACCTTCTGGTACATCTTCAGGTTGATCCAGTTGTTTTTGTAATTCAGACAATAAAAGTTTTTTCCAAAAAATCTGAGAGTCTTTCATAACTTTATGACATTCGTTCACTACCAAGTACAATAGCTTTCCTTGATTCGCGTCACCTGCCACGTCAATCTGCTGGTTTATAATTTGAAATAGATCTACAGCACCAGATAGACCGAATTGACCATCTTGAGACATATCCGGTGGGTTTTCTCTAGTAACAAAATCTCTCGATTCTGATTGCATGAGATTTGAAGTCCATTCAACAAGTTTTCTGCGCACTAACTTGAGATATTCATCTACTAGTGACTGTTCTTGTCCATCAAGTAATTGCGGTTCCAAAAGCTCTTCCGTGACGCCCAATCTAGTGCTCATCGTTGTGTAATAGTCTCTGACAAATCTTAGGAGTCGCAGAATAGTCCCAGCATCTAAATCTTGTTGCACCATTTGATTTAACAGATCATAAGTATGTCTATGGTATTCCAGCACAAAATATGGAAATATTTTATACTTCTTCGGGAACTTAGGTACAATTTGATCGTACACCAGCTCTAACTCGTTAAATATAAAATCAGTTGCATCCAACGCCCCTTGCCAGTCCTCAGCCTCTTTGAATTGTGCAAACTCCTCTTCAAAATGCTCCAGTAGCGACTGATGTAACTGCTCATAAAATTCCACACGGTATGACTTGATTGTACGTGGATTACCTTCAGCCAAACGCCATTTTTTGTGCCCTTGCAAGTCATGATGATTAGACTGTGCCTGTCTAGCCGCCAAGGCTTTCTCGTCAGCTGTTTCTTCACACTCGATAATCTTAATCAATTTGACAATGGTAGCACCACATCCATTTTCTACGAGGGGGATCAAGTTACGGGCAAGAAGCCAAAGGTGCTGGGTAAAATCGTCTGATAGAACATCCACTCTGCGAAAATATGTCTTCAAAGTGATAATAACGTCATGAGGAGAATCGCGGGCTTGGTGCATGGTTTTATCGCGAAATTCTTCTAATTTGTAAAGATGATAATGTACATGCAATAAAGATTCATGAGGTTGAAATATGTCGTTTTGCATAGGTGCAAAAGCGTCTTCCAAGTCATCCAGTTGCTGGTATAATTCTTGGAAAGCTTGTACTTTTGCTTGTGTTGCAACAAAATTCTGATGAACTTGAGATATCTGTTAATAAAAGATGATGAGCTTAGAGAAGGTGATCCTGTAAACATTATTACCATATTTATTCTGGGGAAATCTTTAATCATTGACTGAGCATCGTAGCAGAGCTTATCAATGTTTCTCATATTCTCTTTAACTCTGTTTATGTTGCGGCTGGAGATGGTTAATGTTTCCAGACCTTCTTGAACGTGGTCCAGTTGAGATTGAACGCCTGAATTAAGCTGAGCGTCTATAGAAGCCTTCTCTTTTGCCAGCTTTCGAGTAAGTGGACCGACTTTGGAATTAAGGTCATCTGGATGTTTCAGCAGTTCTGAAAGTTTGTTTATTGCAACTTCTCTAGCGTCTTCCATTGTGAAGGAAAACAGAATATTTAAACTTTCAAAGGGACTACATATAAATTAACTTAAAATACAGACAATTCAAAATTATAATTTTGGCCAAACTAATGTGCGACCTCAGACATACCTTTAGCAATTTCAAAATTTTAGTGTGAAAACTTGTTTGTTAGAGTATGAACTTCATGACCTACCGCACAGCTATTTACGATAGCTGTTCACATAGGATTAGGTTTCACTTAAGTTTAGATATTTAGCTTTGAATGTAAGCAACTCCTTGTATTCCTGCTTGAGAATTGTAGTCAATTTCATTTTACTAGTGTTAGTTTTAGGATTGACCTAAACAGTCTTTGCCTCGTTTTTGCTTGGATAATCTTTTGATTTTGGTTTTTTTTTATTTTCTCCATGACATGCAGATCATACAGATATACTTTCCAGTATGAAGTTCTTGTCTTTTTTTCCTTGATTTATATATCTTTTCTTCATTCTTTTTATCTTTTACCTTTATTACTTTTATCATTATCAAAACGTTCTGTTTAGTATTGCTATTCTTTTTTTTTTAATTAACCAACAAGTTGTTGAATCTCCCCCCATAACTCCTCAATTAGGTCACCATAATAATTATTTTATGTTCCTAGTTGATTCTTTTAATTTAATCAAATAAATGCTGTTGAAAACCCAAATAATAAGTCCTAATAAATGAATGCCATCAACTCATATTTTGTTACGGTGACATTTTTTTATATTAGCTGATCTTATATTATCCTCTGATAGATCAGTTGATTTTTTTGTCTCATACTGTTGTAACTTGCTGCCTATGCTATGCAAGGATCTCCTGGAGAGCCAGCTAATAATTTTTCTCTGTGACTTGTCACTCTGGGTATATGGCATAAGCCGAAGAATTGGCACTTCCCTAAAACAGGCAAACTTAAGAAGGTCTTCAGCAAACCGATATATTTTCTTCGCAGTTTCAATAAAAGTGTCCAGACATTAAAACGTAAGTTAGTTTTCCGATTAAAATAACCATCTAGTCGAGGTAGCTTTCTGTAGTGATAATAATGCCACAAGTGGAGTGTAATAATTCCTTGAGAAAAAAAAAATGAATTAAAATTTGACCAGCACTGCTGAAGTGAATTTACGGAAAGACAGTATAGAGGTATTAGTCAAAATTTATGCACTTTTTAGAACAGGAAAACGAGTTTAACGATGATTTAAAAGAGTGAATTGTAAAGAAACATTACCCAAATACAAGTATAATACGGTTACTCTCAAAGTTTATTGCAAACATTTAGAGCTGCTTTAGCCTCAAACTATGGGTGTTGATTGGGAATACCTGTTTTATGTTTTATATTTCGCAACAACTGTCTCACTTATATAATTTTCGGCTTTTGACAGGTGTACTTGTACATCTTAGCCTTTGGTAAATTCGTTGTTGGTCAATGACAGTAATGGTGGGTCAATATATAAATGCCCACAAATATTACCTTAGTACTTGATAGTGCAACTTAAATATAATTGGATCATAAAGTTGTAAAAAGCATAATATACCACAATTTGTAACGAAGAAAAACTAACATCTCATTTTAGAGCGAAAGCATACAGAGGCGGAAATAAAATTTCCATTGTTAGTGACTGTTAGTGATTTAAAGTCGCTCTATTTGAGTTTGATTATGCTCTTTTTCCATGCTTTACATAAATGTACAACACATCACCTACCACCTCGCCATCTGTTGGTAATTACGCAATGCCAATGTATCATTATCAGCAACAGCAAAGTGATACCACGCACCTTACTCGTCAGTTGACGTGCGCACAAGTATCTCGACAATCTTCCTCTCCTCACCATCACGCAAGAGCGGCAGCAGCCATGGCTCGCAACACACCATTGTCTTCGAGTGTCACTATAACAGACCCCAATGACCCCAATAAACTGTTCTCCAGTGGAAAAAATGGAGAAGAAGAAGAGCACATATGGACCTCTTTGGATATGGGCGGAATGGGATTAAAGAATATTTCACCTGTTATATGCAATTATGCTTTTTTAACAGCACTGTATATTAATCACAATAACTTGACTTACTTATCGCCAGACTTATCTCAGCTTAAGAACCTTAAGATTCTAGATGCATCGGGAAATAAGTTAAGCATGTTACCACCTGAATTGGGTTTACTGTCAAACTTGCGTGAATTGCTACTATTCGATAACAAAATAGTGTCCCTACCTTCTGAGTTTGGCAATCTGTACCAACTAGAGACATTAGGTCTGGAAGGAAACCCAATTCAACCTGAAATAAAAACCACATTGATAAAAGAGGGAACTCAGGCACTGATAATATCCCTTCGCGAAAATGCACCAGGTACAAATGATATGGTGTCGGCATGACCTTTTTTTAATTAAGCATTTTTTCTTTTACAGTAGGCATACCTCCTCCTCATAGAGAATGGCTGTTGGTTGAAGGTGATACTACGGAGGATCCAGGTATTATTTATCCTTTTAAATGCTATGTAGCTACTAATTGCAACCTATAGACAAATTTACTGTATTGTCTTACAACATTCTTTGTCAAAAATATGCAACTAGCCAAGCTTATGGTTACACGCCATCTTGGGCATTAAGCTGGGATTATCGTAGAGAATTATTGGTTTCTGAAATTTTAGGCTATAACGCAGATATCATTTGTCTACAAGAGATGGAGATGGGGCAGTATGAGGATTATTTTAGGGACCACTTTAAAAAAGTGTGCGACTATGATGGAATTTTCTTCCCCAAAACCCGAGCAAAAACCATGTCCGAAAAAGAAAGACGAGTAGTTGATGGTTGTGCAATATTTTATAAAACTACAAGGTAAATATTAGAGAAATAATAATAAACCCTTACTGACGTTCCTATTAAGATACCGTCTGATCGATAAGGAATTGATCGAATACAATCAAAAGGCACTACAACGATCAGACTTTAAACAGACCGTGGACATTTATAACCGTGTGATGAATAAGGATAACATTGCCGTGTTTGCAATGTTAGAGGATAAAAATACGAACAAACACATCCTAGTGGCAAACTCACATATTCATTGGGATCCTGCTCATGCCGATGTCAAGCTTGTTCAAGTGGGAGTGTTGATGGACGAAATAAATAAATTCTCTAGAAAGCATCTTTCATCCTCAGTAGATAAAATGTCAACTATAATTTGCGGTGATTTTAATTCCGCACCAGATTCAGGTGTGTACGAATTCTTCTCTAAGGGTACGATTCAACAAGACCACGATGATTTTGGCGACCATTCTTATGGAACATATACCACAGAAGGATTATCTCATGCTCTTTCACTCAAAAGTGCATACAGTAACGTCGGGGAGTTACCGTTTACAAATTATACACCCGGATTTAAGGGTGTTTTAGATTATATATGGTATACGACCAATACACTAGACGTTTTCTCTCTTTTGGGTTCCATAGATAGTGATTATCTCAGCAAAGTTATTGGATTTCCCAACGCTCATTTTCCTTCAGAGTAAGTCTTAAATCATAATTCTTATACAAACACTAACTTGGTTTATTGTAGCCATATCCCAATCATGGCGGAGTTCAAGTTCAAAATTACAAACAGGAAAGAATCCGTCAAAGCAGATTTTGGCAGTACAAGACACAATAGAACAAATAAATAATCTATGAGATACGAATATATCGTTTTAAAAATTTACCTTACGGTTTATTTTTTCATTCCAATTCAAAGATGTACCATGCATCTATAAACTTAGAGAAGGCGAAGCTATGGAAAACCGGGGCAGTTTCTTTTATTTTTAAATTAAAAAAGCTGATAAATTCATTTGTTTTTTAAGTGTATTCACGTGAAATATTGAATTAATGCAAATTGAACAAAAATCAAGTTCGAATATAAAAGAAAACTGTATAACTTAAGAAAGATCCCCTTGAATAAATATAAAAGGTGTTTTACATATTTTTAGATTTTTTGGGCTTGTCTTGCTTATCTATTATTTCGTACAATAATCTTCTGTCCTACATCAATACACTATCCGTATTGAAAACAAGATATAGAAACATTGAATGTGTTTATCCATCACACTTTAACAGAGATAATCTGGCGAATGAATTGATGGATTTCGGTTTCACACAGTTCAAACCACAAGCGCTATTTTTAAAATTGTAAGACATACATCTTTAAGCAGTTTATGAACGCCATCATGAATCAGTAAGACGCGATAATTTTAGAGATTATTATTAATCAAACGAAATATTCCTGTAACCAATTGATATGGACATAAGTGTAATTATATTTAAATCTATATGCAGCTAAACCGTGGTGTTGATGACGATAGTCTTATCGTTTCTGATTTAAGGAGTGGCAAAACCCGAGGACATCTATTCCGCTATGCTTATCTATGTGTGTAAAAATACTACACGTGTCTAGTACAAGAAGACGCGCTTAATACATAGGTGTAAACGAATTATTATATTATGTTTAGGTTAAATTCTGCAAAAGTTAATTTAATCCAAATCGCATCATTTTTGTATTCATCTCGCGATGATCAGAAATCACGCTTAAAGTAAATAGCCATATCCGGTTAAATTTAAGGAACACAACAGAAGAATAACTTGGAAATTAACGACGATTAATTTTTAATAAGAATTGGAAAAAAATAAATAGGTGATGGAGGGTGGATATTATTAATGTGATAATGTAATGAATGATGTTATAAAAATACAATGTAGTACCATATAGTACAACATTTTAAAAAAGTTCTTGGAGGTCTTTCAGGGTGACAACACCAACCCAATCCTTGTCACTGTTTATCACCGGTAATAACGGAATGTTCTTTTCTTGCATTGTCGCAATAGCTTCCGAAGCTAATCCTTCTTGTTCAAATACAATCGGGTGTTGTGACATTATATCCATCGCACGTATTTGGAAAATGCCTTCTCGCGTCGATGCTTTTAAGATACGATGGATGTCGCCATGTGTAATAACACCAACTATTCTATTTTGTTTCTGACATTCATATTCATTTAAAGAAGATGTCTCTGATAGTGGCGGCGATGGAAACAAAGATATGTCTCTAGTTTGGTTGTCCTCATCCAAGTTTAAATCATCGTCATCCAGTACCATAACGCCTGAACCTTTTGGATGTTTTGTCATTTCCATAATTATGACATCGAGGGATGTCTTTGGACTGACACATGCAACTTTTGATGAATTTATGTATATGTCTTTCACTTTCAGCAATAACCTTCTACCAAGTGAACCCCCAGGATGATTTAACGCAAATCCATCAGTAGTAAACGTTCTTAACTTTGCAAGAGTCAAAGCCAATGCGTCACCGAGAGCTAATGTCAATGTGGTGGATGATGTAGGGGCAGGAATAGAACCACCAGCTTCACGTTTTACAAAACCGTCAATCCAAGCAGCACACTCTCTGGATAGCTTGCTATTAGGGTTACCACACAGGCCGATGACTGGAATATTACGATGCTTCAGACTTGGCAACAGCATTAAGAGCTCTTCAGTGTTTCCAGAAAAAGATAATGCCAAAACGACATCGTTAGGTTGAACTGTGCCGAGATCGCCATGTAATGCTTCAACAGGATGAAGAAAGGTTGCACATGTACCTGTGGATAACATGGTAGCGACAATTTTTTCACCAATTTTTCCTGATTTTCCAACACCAGTGACAACCACTTTGCCACCAGCATCCAAAGATTTAAACATAAGATAAATGGCTTCCTGATAACCTTCTCTGGAAGCTGGGTTTGTCTTTAGTCTTTGGGCAGCATCATTTAAAGCTGAGGCCTCTTCTAATAATATACTAGCAGCATTGTCAATGATATTCTCAGTAGTGTTAAGCATTGGTCAGAAATTGCTTTATAGATAAGTATAAAAAGAAAAAGAAAAAAGAAAGTGGAAGAAAAGAATTGGTAATTGAATTTCGCAAGACACATATTTATTGAACTGACCCCTTCTTCCGATACTCTGTGTAACAACACAAGCCACCATTTCTTATCTTTGACAGTATTCAAACAATTGCATACCATTTTAAGAGGTCATTTGACATAGTCTCCAGTAATTCTTTCTTTTGTAATTTATTATGAGGTATCAAAAGTGCAGGGAGAATAAAAGGTCTTAGATTTGCACATTGAGGTTCCTTCCGATTTTATCATTTTAAATCCAGTTAGGTTGATAGGAACAGTTAAAATCCCCCAAGAAAGATAAAATTATACACTACAGCAATTAATTTGAAATGTTTATTTTATGTGGTTGCTTTGAAAGCTTTATGATTTATTGTGTTATTTACAGTCTAGGCAAAACATGTACAGTATTTATCACAAGAATTTGAATATAAATCATCGAACATTTTCCGATGCATCTCGTTACTCTCAATTTAACACCGTAAAAAGTACATCATTGGCAAAATAATATTATAGATTAATAAAAATTAATGGCGCATAATCCTGAATATTCGGCACGGATATCGATTCTCAAAAAGGTAAAAAAAAAAAAAAATGCGGCTGAAATCCAATCAGATCGGATTTCAACCGATCCCGATATTCTGGGCGAGACTTGTTTTACTCCTTGGAGTAAAATGTTTCTTCGACGTTTTCTTTAAATTGGACAAATTGTGTATCGGCGATTTCTATCAAATGTTCCAATGTCTAACTGCCTTTTATGGAACGGCTTACATTTTTGACTCTTTAAATCCAGGGAGATCGTGTTTGATACGACCTCTACAAAACTGTTAAGGTCAATTGTGGCCATATATTGCTTCTGATATCCCGAAATATTATTTCGATACACTTTCACATTCCATAGTTTTAGCAAACAAGGACAGCATGAACTTCTGAAAACTTTGTATGGCACTTCAATAAGTCTATATAAAATAAGTGTTATATTTTACAATTAAAGGCATTCAACGACACGTTTGAAGTTTTTAAATGACCAACAATTGTCAGAATCAAGTATTTAATTTCCCTTTTACCTAATTATTGGGAGAATCTTATAAGTCAGGTTCTGTGATGTCAAATTTGGTTCAGAAATAAATTGATAGTCAGCAATATGGAGCATTAATAAGATATAAATATAAAGTGACAGCAAAGATTAAAATTAAAAGCTCCTGTGATAATTCCCAATGACATCTTATAAATAATGAGTTCAAGTCGAATGTAAGAATATGAAAAGCATGAATATTTGTGGTATACAGTAAATAAGAAGGCTGAGGAAACACAGAGAAGTCAATTACAGATTATAAGACAAGCTATTTTTCTTTTTTTTTGCAATTTGACATTCGGGCTTACGGAGCAAAATCTTTTGATGCCCTGAGGTTATATTCAAGATATCATTTGGATTAACTTGTACACATAGATAACCATATCTTTGGTTTAGAGGGAATTGAGGCTGTTTATTTTCGCTCGCAGAAGTCTTTATATTATGATTAGATATTAATATTTAAATTTATTGGATAAGATAAAATAGATGCTAAGGAATATAAAAAAATTCTTATTTGATTATGTATATTAAAATGGTAATTTAAACCAAGGCCTTTCTGAGGTAGTCGCAGCTGCCTTCGCCTCGGATGAGGTAGTCACATCCGATTTCTCTTCCGATGTCGTCGTAGGCTCTTTGACAGTAGTTTTTGAGGGCTCAGTTGTAGTAGTAGTAAGATCCTTTTCCTCTTTGGTAGTGGAACTAGAAGTTTGAGTAGGCGAAGCAGATATGTTGCTTGTGGAAGGCACAGTCGATGACGAAGGATTGCTAGAAGACGAAGATACATCAAATAGAGGTTTTCCAGACAAAAACTTTGATAGCATATTTTGAAATTCATCAGGATCAGTGATAGAAGTAAGATTCTTCGGAAGAGATTGGGCAGAGATTGACGAAGGTTCAATACCTATTGGTGGAAGATTATCAATTGAGAGAGTAAAAGGGACGCGATCTTGGTAGTAGAACATTTCTGATTCATAAGCCCCACCAACAATAACAGTAACATTTTGTTGAACATCGAAATACTTTTCTTTATCAAAAAGCATGCCTAGAAGTTGGATTAAATGCTCAGGACCCGAACCTTCAATAGTCACAGGCCAATCTTCAGTTTTCATAGAGCCTTTGGCAGGAACTACGGCAGGACTTGGAAGGTTATAGTCAATAGTACCGACAGTAAATGGTTCAGCACCAGAAGTTGGTTTAAAAACAACAGACGCTTTGACTGACTTAATTGCATAAGATGTATCCATGGGATTCTGAAGTGTAATTTGACTTGTGGCTTTCTTTTGGAAAATGAGACCTATAAGACTGCCTTTTACTGCAATACCGCTAATCAAATTTGCTTGAATGCCACTCATACTAGAAGCAAGCTTAACAGAAGACAAAGCAGGGGAAAGCGGAGCAATTGTGGTAGAGCGTTCGGAGCCAACAATAGTAACAGGGACCGTTGCTGCGGTTAAATAGTCACTGAGGACTTGACTGACTCCTTTAGAGTTGGTAACACGTTCGCCTAAATGCATTTGGGCACTAAACACTTTTGATCCAGGAGGAATAACAACATCTTTGAGATATACACTGCCAATTACAGAGTTAAACTCATTTAAGATCGTATCAAAATTGATATCGCCGATAGTGATAGTAATATTGGATGGATTGTCAAGAGAAAAAGTTAAATCAATAAGAATGTAATCAGATGTACCGCCGCTGATTTTGATAGAAAGAATGGTGGCTTTTCCTCCAAAGTCGGCGAAACCTTATGAAAAGAATGTTAGTAAACATACTATATTAACACATATATGCATATACATACCAGCAAGAGAAGTATCAACACTGAAACCGATATTTTTGAGACTGATTTCTCCAACAGCGGTCTGAGCAACAGCGTTAGTGGCACCTTCCAATCCAAAAGTAACACTAGGACTTAAGGTCAAAAGTTGTACAAAGCCAGAGAAAAGAGTTTTATCAATAACCTTAAAAGGCACATCAGTAAACTGTGTTGAAACCAAGCCTGTAGAACTAGTTGTGGCTTTTTCAGTAGGTACATCAAGAGTAGCAACACCGGATCCCTTATAAGTAGCTTCAACTTTCATACTAAGCTCATTAACACCGAGAGGGAATCCAAAGGGACTTTTTATTTGAGCCTGAACATTGCTTGAGCTAGCGGGTGGAGCCCAAGGATCTTTGGTGAAATCTAACGACATGTCCTTTAAAGTAACAGCAGGAATCAACTGAGGCTTTACTTTAGGTCCAGGCAAAATAACATTTTCAATAAGTAATGTTTTGAACGCCGTAGAAAGCCACCCAACAACACCTCCGGGGCCAGAGGCAGAGACACCTTTAACTTGGACAATACTACTATTACCACCGAGATAATTATTAAAAACTTCATTGATGGCAGCTAGTCCGGAAGCGGAATTTTGAGGAACCAAACGGCCCTTCATAGATATAGAGGCAGCGCCTTGAGGAGGAAATACTGCGGCTCCATTGGAAGCAAGAGGTCCAAGATCAGTATCCTTGAAGATAGTCTCAAAACTAACACCGGCAAAATTAAATCCAATTTGACTAGGATTCTTGATAGAAGTTTCGGCTGTAAGGGTGATTCCACCAGCAGGGTCATTAGAAGGTAAATCGAATGATTTAATGGTAACGGAATCCTTAAATCCTTGAGCGCCGGCTAGTGCAACAAACTTCTCCATACTAATCTTAGTAAATGTAAACCCAAGAGCATTGACAGAAACATCCTTGGTAGCAATATCCCAAACAAAATCTTTGTTATTGATCATATATGCTGCAAAAGAAGCCATATCATCACCATTTGAAATAACAAACTTTCCGGCGACATCAAAATTTGCCCCAACATCAGCTTTAGAGGAAATAGCAGCCATAGTAACTGTACCAAGTTTTTTTCCTTGCCACGACACCGAAAGAGGTGAAGGGAAACTGATTATAGCGTCAATAGGCCCACATTTGGTAATCGATCCCTTCATTTGAACAGAAAATCCCGTTTCAGTAGGAGCAGACATAACTATACTTTCAAAGCCGAGTACCGCACCGTCGACAATCTGCTGAACAATTGGTTGTCCGACAATAGGAATCAAAGATGTGACAGAGCTGTCAGTTTTTATTGCTACACTTCCTTGAGAAAAAGACAAGTCTTGCTGATATTGACCAATACTTAAACCAGAAGTTAGAGACAGATCAACTTTTAAAGCTTTCATAGCTTCCATGACATAGTTCGAGATGTTGAAATTAGCAAACAAACTTGAATCTGAGCCAACAGCTTCCATTCCGGCAATTTCAAACCCGCCTAAACCAAGCAAAGCGTCCAGAGAGCGGGTATCCATATCAGCTTTTACAGCAAGAGTACGAAGTAGTAGAGCAATAGAGGCAGGCTCAACGTTTAAATTCATATCAAGATCCTGGGATTCTGCAGTAACTTTGCCAGGAATAACAAAAGGATTATTACTTATATCCTGATCAATATTGCCAACAGGCATACCGGAAAGAGTAGCGGCAGCTGTAACCTTTGTAATTGATAAACCGGAGGAGAACGGATTTGCGATAGACACTTTGACACCAACCGTACCGGATGTAACTGTATCAGGAAGTACTGTCATAGCTCCACCTTGGATCAACGCAGCTTTAAGACCAGGAAGAGTCGAGACAAGATTTAAGGCACCCAAAGATCCTACCAAAGAGCTAATATTGGTAGAATTGCTATAACCAGAGATAGACACAGAGTTGTCGCTTCCCATGACAAATGTACTTAAGAGATTTTTTCCTACATCAGATGATTTGGGGTCAAAGGTAGCAGTAGCAGCAACTGTGTTTTCTCCACGAGCCAAAGTTAGATTTGACAAAGTTACTAGACCAAGATCAGTACCATCAGCGCCCATTACAAAGCTTACATCGCCAGTAGAAATGCCAAAGTCAGAGGGATTAATCATTGTAACATTGATGTCGAGCAAAAGATTTTGTGTAGTACCACCAGAAACATCAAGAGAATTTATGACAGTCGCACTACTATTGAGAAATTGGAGGCCACGAAGTGTGGTAGGAACAGAAAATGATATACCACCCAATGTGATAGGACCAATTGGAGTATTTGTTTTAGTAGATGCATTTCCAGAGACCATGAATGTATAATTGTTCGAAGCGGTTAAAGAGTAGATATACTGATCAAAGAAACTCTCTCGCTCAGGTATTCCAGCAATGGCGTCATTTTTAAGAGGAAATTTCAAAGTACCAGCCTTTTGGTCACTGATGGCAGCCACATTGGGAACATGAATCGTAGCAAAATCAGTAGTTTCGGTGTCAGAAGTGTTGACAGCTAGTGTGATATTCTGAGTAACCTCAGTGATATTTAAACTAAAACCAAATGGAATTTTGAAGTCTGCATTAACACTAGGAGCATTGGCAGAAGGTTTATACGGATTGGCGTCATCAAAATTTAAATCGAGATAACCCATTTGAACAGAATTTATAATCTTGAGAGGTTCAGCAGCAGCCAAAGCTACATTAAGTTGGACACTTTTGAAACCTTCAGAGAGCCAGCTAATGGGATTAACTCCGTCAGGTGCAGCAGATATTCCGACAGCAGAGGTGTTCGAGACTTTACCAGAGACGTAGTTAGAAAAAAGATTACCAACTTTTTCAAGAGCATTAGAGTCAGTTTGAGGAATCAGGGTACCCTTGAGAAGAATATGATTGTCCCCTTTAGCAAGATTTACATTTTCTGCTTGAACAGTACCAATATTAACACCGTCATATCCAATAGAAAGTGCAATAGTACCGAGTTGAACGCCAATTGGAGAAGGACTTTCAAGAACGGTACCTAGTTCTACAAAAATGCCGCCGTTGGGATCATCACCAGGGAGTTGAAAAGATTCAATGTGTACATTTGGGAATCCGTTCATACCTAAAAGAAATAATAAAGTCAATAACATGTAAAGACATTAATGTAAAAAACTTTACCATTTAAAGTAATTTTTTTGTCTAGATTAATAGTAGCAGTTCTATAAAACAAAATTAGACATAGTTTACTTAATAGAATATAGTATGCTTACCTAGTAAGAGCAGTAATATCAAGTTTCCCGCGAAGAGTCCATTCGAAAGATTCAACGGCCATCATATCCCGAGAAAAAGAGGCGAAAGCAGCTTCATCTTTGATTAAGAAAGGAGTGATAGCGTTTAAAGTACCTTTTCCATGACTGATGCTACTATCGTTAAATAGAAAGATATTACCCAAAACCTGATCTTTGTAAAGTACTTCAATGGGGTTATGATAACGAATGTTTGCAGAAAAAGGGCCGGTTTTGCTAAGCGAACTTTCCATGTTCATATAAAAGGTCGTATTCATGTTGTCACCATCACGTTTGCTGTATGTCTGACTGTTCAATGCTTCGGGTTTACTGAAACTAATTTGAGCAGCATCTACGTCAATTTTTGCAGCATTCATTATGTTTTGAGCAATCATAGGGAAGAAAACAAAAATTGCTAAAAGAACAACTGTGATAGTGGTGATGACTGTTAAGATTGAGCAAATGATCCAGTACTTTTTTTTTTTATAAAAAGGAACCTTGGAGGGAGCCGACGGTTTTTCGGAATACTCTTCCATCATATCGGCATCTTCTGTGCTTCGTTGATAATATTCGTCTGATTGTCGGTTTTCCAAAAGGGCATCATTGCCATGGTTATGTTGATTAGTCATTGAAAGAATGGAAAGATGTAATAAAATTTATGAATGATTGTATATTATAGTATAAGTAAATAATAACAGTGGGATAGATGATATTAGCAGCTTCAAAGATTTGCTGAATATAACTACTGAGCCCAGTTATTAGACTGATAGGAAAGGAGAGAAGAAGAATGAATGCTTTAAATTCTTTTAAATGACACACTTTATATATATATACTCAAAATTGTAGCTTATGTTTTTTTTTGTTACATTGAGGATTTAGATCAGTGTTCTCCACCAGTAACTTTAATTGGATCGCTTTTTTTTAAATATACCTAAGTCATCCTTTGGGGTTACAAACCGCGATAAGTTATTGCATAGAATTAAAAATATTTCAGGTGCATGTGAAATACCCACACTGAATGAGAAAGTAATAGCTCTTCTAAACAATGCAAAAGTTTACCAAGACATCTTATTTGATTAATAAATACGCTACATATAATTAAGAGCAGATAATCAAGTGCTCAATATAACAGAAGTTTAACAAACAGTAACAACAAACAATTTTCACATGAAGCGGCTGAAGTGTATGCGAAAAAAGTTTTCTTTAAAACATTGGAAATCGGCCAACGCATTCATTATTACCCTTTTGTATCTAGACTTGTGAAATGTATGAATATGATTATAGTTTAGCATGTATGTGTTTATTTTTAAAACTTGCACAGAGAAAAGCACACTTATATTAATGTCATTAGCTCTTTGCAATGTGACGTGCTTAACTTAAATAAAATATATTATTATTTATTGTTTTGTTGATTAAGTACATTGATAAAAAAGATCTTCCTTATTTGTTTGCCAGGAACCAATAAAGCAGTTACACAAACCACATCATCAACAAGAAGGAATCGTTACACGGTGATTAATTTTAGAGGCCTTTGCAAAGTCATCTCCGACAAAAGGATGATTGTGGTTAGCCACTCAATATCGCGAAACGTGCATACGAATACCATACCTTATTGATATATATTCCTCCATGTGAATTTTCTTTTCTCTTTTTTTTTTTTTTTTTTTTTTTGTATAAATTCGTGAGAAAAAAAATATATTGCTGACAATCTCCACCAAATTGAGAAAATGCAACATAAAGCTATTCAATCACAGTTACATGTTTGGACACAATACAATTCGCGGAATTATGTCAGACAAAGGCATTTTATGTGATTTTAACTGCATAAAAAAGAGTGTCTAAAAAGTGTACCTCATTGTTCCTTTTTATGCCAAAAAATAAAATAAAAAATCCAGTTCTTTTGGTTGGGTATTTAGATTATTAACATTACCAAGATGGATACAATGCAATAGTCATCTTGTCATTATCCGTGATCTTAAAGTATTTGTGTTACCTACAGATTTGAACCATTGTAACCAAAGCTTACATAGCTGATAATCCGGAATATACTACCGGATATACACAGATATTGTAGACATGGTTAATCATCATTCAATTGTCAACAAGAGAATTCTTATAACTAAGTATAAATGAAGTACGATGAAAAAAAAAACTTGTGCTATACTAAATTAAGTAGTACTCAACGCTAGCTCATAATTTTTCTTCCCTACAGACTCCATAGATTTATTAAACGACATGGCTTTGTGTTTATTATTTACAAATGCGTTAACATGGTATGGCAATAACAAACCCAAATACGTAATAAAACTGATGACATAAAATCTGGTCAACTGGTTGACATAGCTCACAATGAAAAGAAGCCTACGGAATAAAAAGTGCGGAATCTTATATATCAAAACCAGCAACATATTTTATAATTTTGGCCCGAATTTCTAATTATTTAACAGAATATGTACGAAAGCTAGGTGAATAAAAATACTAAAATCATACTTGATGTATACGTGTGCCACTTTGACTCTCATGTAGATCAGCATATTTTCAACTAATATGGTCATAAGAGGTAGTAAAATGAGATAGCGTAAAGTGAATTTTGAGAATATTGTGATGCGTATATCCATAATAAACACCTGGTCAAGAATTGCACCACTTTTATAATGAGGTGACACTGTAATTTATTTGCACAACTGGGTATTATTTGAAACAACAAAATGATGTCATGACGTACTACCGATTCAAATAAAAAGTAACCTTGATATTTCACTGTGACAAAAAAGATGTTTAAATGTCACAGTCTTCTCAATAAGACAATAAGGGGGCTTTATAAGTCCTGAATTTTGCTCCTTTACAAAAAAAAAAAAAGCGGGGGAGTTTGGTTAATTATTTAGTTAATTTTTGAAGCTTTTGGGTCTATACAATAATTTTATCTATACCAAATGACCAAAGAAATAAATTCGGGTGATAGCTTACTGTTTTGAGTAAATTATACGAAATAAATAGGACAAGCCAAGCTCATATCCGCCTTAAACCAATTAAAATGCTTTAAACATTTAAAAATACGGCTTGATCTCTACAGTGGTTACATACTTCATTTTAAGATTTTAAAATTTGGCAGCTCTTCTTGTCACAACAATAACTATTGTAGTTTGAATAATTATCGACCTTTTTGTTTCTCTCTCTCTCTTTGAGCCTGCTTCTAGATATCGACAGAAGAGCACTAGGTTTAATATATCAACATCTACATTTGTTGCCAATAAGTATGTCGTTCATGACGAGGTATTGGTATTTACTTTACTCTTGGTAACAAAAAAAAAAAAAAAAAAAAAAAAAAAAAAAACCAAATCAATTGAGGGGCAATAATTTAATGATAAAATCCGGATAATAAGGCAGCCTTTCGGTTTAATTGGACAGTCCAAAGAGGCGGATGGCGCAGAAGAAAGAGGACGTGCTTCCTCAAATTTCTGTCACATCTTTCCACTTGTCCTTTTGTCTTCGTAATGAAGAAAATTAGTCGAACACGAAAAAAAAAAAAAAAAAAAAAAAAAAAACTTGAAACCTGAAATTTTTTTTAGAAGTTTGCCTGTTTTTTTAGTTTGCTTTTAAAAAAATACCTTGTACAGAGAGAACTCACATATATGATCAGAATAATGTATCGCTGTGTGTCTCGATGAACAAACCACATCAAAGGTTTAAAGTTTGAAGGTTTAAACCAGGTGCAACGTACAATTAGGGCGGCCTGAAAGACTTGGTGGGTTACAATATCTGAGCATAGATATATCCATTACATCAATGATCCGACGTAACATCTACGAATTACACAGAAATCGATGATATACTATTTCCTGCTTAGACTTGTAACAGCTATTGCGAAAAGTTTGAACAGCCCGAAATATGGCGACCGCGGAATTTATCTACTTTCTTTTAAATTGGCCTCCAAAAACATGTTTACCGTCACTGAATCTACTGGAGAGTAATAACGGTTGGCCTAAAAACCTCCATATCTGAATCTCCATTTTTCGATTCCGTCCAAAAAAGGCAAGCTACTATCTGAAAACGAGTTCTGATTCGTCCGAATAAGAAAACTAACAATTGAGGACCATTTGAAGCACGAAAATATTTGCAGAACGTGACATCTGGGTCAAAGGAGGAACCTGTACAAAAAACTCCGCAAACCTTTATAAAAGAGGTTCAACCTACAAAAATAGCTTTAAATACGTTGCCTATACTTCATGTACAGTACTAATTCTTCCAGGAATCCTTGGGGAAATTCATTTGAACGATTCAGTGGCAATAATTCTCTTACATCTATCGATGAGCTAAAGAAGTCAATCAGAGAACAAAAAATTTTGTTGGCAACAACTGGCCAAGATTCTGTTGAAGAATACAGTGAGCACCAAGGCCTCGATGTTAGCATCGAAGAATTGAAGCGACGCATTATCTCTTTAAACCAAGAAATGTACGATAAGCAACAAATGGCTGCTTCTGCAGGTCGGTCAACTCTAAGTCCTGCTCAATGGTGGGAGCGTTACGAGCTTAATATGAGACAACTAGAAGATATAGCAGACCAAAGACGGGCTCTGTTAAAAGAAATTGATTATCTTGTTGGCACTAACATGAAAAATCTAGAGGAAGAATTGATTCAGGAAACTGAAAAATTGAATACGGCTAAATCAAAGGCGTCTCAACTAAAAAAATCCGTATATACGCCTTCCTCTATCAATTATGATCAACCTGGAATGACAGAATCAGAGCGTATTCGTGCAAAGGCACAAGCCATGGTAGCCGCTCGCCTAGGAAGAAGTAGTAGCTCAAACACTTCATTGCAACATGATAATGCCGAAAGCGAAAGCGCCAGACAAAGAATGTATCAAGTAACTCAATTTATAGGCGAGATCAAGCAGATTCGGAGGGAAGTAGAGTCAATTGTCGAAGCAAATTTAAGTGAAGTAGATCAAGATTTGGTTTTAGGTGCTAAGCAATTAAAAGATCGCCAGATGTTTGAACAAGGTCTATATATTGATGATGAATTGGCTCGCTTTATTGATACGCTGGAAAGATCGTTAGTGACCAACTCACATAAGAGATCTTATTTACCAACCCAAAAGATGCCACTGCTTCCACCGCTTCCATTATCATCTATACCGCCATATTCCCAACCACCTCCTCCAATACCCACATCACAGAGACCAGGGACACCTAGATCCGCTGCAGATATTAAAGCTGAAGCTCATAAGCGTATTGAACAACGGAAATTGCTTTTTGTCAAAGATTCCAGTAAAACACAATCCACTGTCTCAGCAGAAGATCCGTGTCGATTGACAGAGGACATATATGTTAGTGGGGAGGAAATAGCAGCTCAAGAAAGAATGAGACAAGCGGAAGCGGATGCCCGCGCCCGACTAGATGCTATGCGCGAAAAAAGGCACAAATTAAGAAAAGAAGCTGCCGAAGCAGAAGAAAAGAAAAAGAGGGCAGCTGCTGAAGCCACTGCCGCTGCTGAAGCAGAGATGCTCGCTGAAAAAAAAGTGAAACAGCAAGAAGAGGACGATCGTATGGCTAGAACAGAGAAAGCACACGGCAAATTAGCCGAGCAACAACGTGTACTACGAGAAGCAGAGTTTGAAAGATTACGATTAGAGCGCGAAGAGAAATCGAGATTAGAAGCAGAAAAACTTAAGAAACGTGAGGAGGAGGAACGGATTGCTGAAGAAATACGTCAAAATGAAGCTCGCAAAGCAGCAGAACAAGCTGCCCAGGAAAAGCGTTTACGCAGAATGGAAATTGAACGTCGTGAAAGGGAAATAGAAGCCGCTAGATTGGAAGAGTTAAAAAGACGCAAACAATGGGAGGAAGAAGAAAATCAGAAAAGGCTTGAAGAGGAAAGAAGAATTAAAGCAAAAGAAGAGGAGGCAGCTCGAATTCGTAAACAGTTGGACGAGGAAGATGAAAGACTCGAGCAGCAAAGAAAGCGCGAAAAAGAAAAGCGTCTTAAAGAAGAAGCCGAATCTCTGGTACGGGAGGAGGAAGAAAGAATATTAAAACAGAAGCAACAGGAGGAGAAAGCATTGTATGAGGCTGGAGTTAAATTGCAAGAAGAAAAAAGGCTCGAAGAGATAAAACAAAAGCAGCAGGATGAATTCGAAGCTAAGCAGATAGTAAATGAAACTGGACAGGTAGAAGATATAGAGGCCGAAACATCACAAATTGATTCTATGTATTATTCTTCCCCTGCTAGCTCTTTATTGGCTACTCAAAACAGTACTACAGCGGGTACAAGTGGATATGGAATTGATGTAGAGGATGAAGTTAATTTTACAATAAGTAGGATTAATTTGAAGTAGCTGCCATGATGTTATATACTAATATTACAAATGTAGTCTATCGGGTGAAAACTTTATATGAATATCAAGGGGTACGTGAGGATGATTTATCTTTTTCAGCTAACGAAACACTTAAAGCGCATCCTTCCAAAGATAAAGGAAGTGATTGGTGGTATGGCACATCCTTGTCAACAAATCAAGTTGGATTTTTCCCTAGAACATACGTTGAAGTTATAGAAGAAGGTAACCAATGCTTTTTTTTTCTTTTCTTTGAAAAGCTATCTAATTTGTATTGTTTTTTTTTAAAAAAAAACTTTAGCTTTCCGTGTCAAAACATTATATGACTTTACCAAAACACGCCCTGACGATTTGGGGTTTTCAGCTGACGAGGTTATTATTGTCCAGCCTTTCCAAGATGAAAATAGTGACTGGTGGTATGGAACAAGTGAAGACACAGAAGAGAGTGGTTACTTTCCAAAGACGTATGTGGAAAAGATTAATTCTGGTAATGTAAAATGGACGAACAAATGAAAGTTAGTTTAACATATTTTAAAAAATTATAGTATCCAAAAATAATCAAATATCACCTTCAGCAACGTCAATGTCAATTTCGATTAGCGGAGGACAATCATCACAAAACAACTCTCACTCTGCGGGCGTCTTTTTAACAGTTTCAGATCATGATCTACCTCGTGGATTGTCAGCGCCCAACACCCCAATAATGAAAAAAGTAAATTTAGGGGTGGATAAAGCGCAATTATCTAAACGTCGTAGAGCAGCTAGTACTGTCAGTTCCACCAATCAAAACAACATTGGTTCACCACAGCTAATATTTCCACGCTCTGGCAGCGTATCAGAGAATTTAGAACTTTTAACTTGGGCTAGTACGATGGACCCATTGGAGCTTGAAGCTATACCACCTGAGGAACGTAAAAGACAAGAAGCTATATTCGAACTAATTGCTACAGAGAAAACTTACCTAAACGATCTCCAGATGATTATCAATGTAGGAATTTTATGTTACTTTACAGTGAAAGTATTCCCTTACTAACAATATTCCAGATTTTTTATGCGGATTCTGGAAAGTATTTAACCCAAGATGAACGCGATGTCGTGTTTTCAAACATAGATGATCTGTTGATATGTAATACAGCACTTTTAAGCGACATGGAAAATAGACAAAACGAAAAGGCCAATGTTGTGGATAAAATTGGTGATGTTTTTTTGAAACATGTAAGAACTAATATTGATCTTTCCATGATTGTACTGAAAATATACGTTTTTACTTAGGCAGATAGCTTACAGTGTTATTCTACTTATTGCCGAAATCAGTCGTACGCCACTAAGTTTTTACAGAAAAAAAGAGAAGATGACCAATGGTTTGAAGTTTTCTTAAAGGTAAACAGGTCTCGCGAGTTTGATAGAGTATAATCCAAACTCATTTTTGTCTTTTTTTTTCTTAAAAAAAAGACCGCGCAAACTAGAGCAGAATGTCGTTCTTTAGACCTTTCGCACTTTTTATTAGAGCCTGTACAGCGTATCACTAGATATCCTCTTCTACTTCGTCAGGTAATGTCTCAGGATTAGAAAGCGATATATACTAGGGCACACCCTAATATTTCTAAATACAGATTTTAAATAATACACCAAAGAAGCATCCCGACCATTCGCTAGTCAGATCTGCGTTGTCGATAGCTCAAAAGGTTCTTGAAGACGTAAACGAAGAAACGAGACGGTTCGAAAACATTCAAAAAATGTCTGAGCTATCTAGAATTTTGGATTTAGAAGGAACAGTGGTTAGTTATTTCTGTTAGAAAGTGCTCTTGAATTAATATCTTCCGATTTAGAATTTGAACGTTCCAGGCCGAGAATTTGTTATGGATGGAGCTCTATTTAAAGCCAAAAGTGGTCGTAAATTACACGGTTTTTTGTTCAACGATCTTCTAATCCTTGCAGAACCATTAAAAAGCCTTAGTCCCAAAGGCTATCTATATAGTCTTTATAGAGAGGTATAAATGATTCTATGTATTACAATATTTACTAAAACACTTTCTTTTTTAAAGCCTATGCCTATAGAGTCAGTCAGTGTTCGTCAGCAACAGACAATGACTTTAAAACCCTCTTTTGGGGGTAACAATAATACAGGTAGACTTTATGAAGGATGAAGTTTGACAGATATAAACCTTACATGTTTTGTTTAATTTTAGATGATCTATCATTCCAAATTGTTTCTGGAAGCCATGTTATAGCGGTTAAGACCTCCTCTGCATCTCAAAAGCGTCAATGGATGAACCAAATTCAACATTTTAGTGCCCTTCAACAATATAGATAAACATTTTATAATAATTCTTCGGAACTGATAGTATTTATATAAATATTTATACAAACCTATAAGTGTCTACTTAAGCAATGTTTTATAAAGTTCATGTCTAAGAGTTCTCAAACGATTCATAATAGAAATGATACATAATATCATCATTTTTTTTAGTCCGATGACTGACTGCATAGATATTTTGTTCAACTATGAATTGAAACAAATTAAAAAATTAGTCAAAAATCGAAATTCTAACCACATTAGATTATCAAGTTTCAATTTATAAAAGAACATTACCTGCATCAATTTACTAGCGTTGTAGGTTTATAACTGATTCGGGTGTGCTTTCCATTCTCTTTATTGAAAAGCGAAAAGAACTTTCTAAAAGTTTAAAAAGTTTAATATGACAGATTTTTCCGATACTAACTAGCATCTTAGTCTTCTTTTCAGGGCACGAAACATGTTAACTGGCGTTCTAGGCAAGCACAACAAACACGGATTTTTATTGGAATGCCTTAGTTGAATCACCAAAAAATACCTTTTCATCTTTGGATGCATCAGTACCCAAATTTAGGACTGTAACTATCGTTATTATTGTTTTAAAATCATTAAAACTCTTGAGGCCTGGTTCTTTCAAAAATTGGAGATTGATCACTAATAAACCGAGCGTGATGTCAGGCCCCATCTGGAAACGTAACCGTACAAAGGTAAGAATAACAAAACGAGCTCGCTTAACGTGGTTTGTAATCTAAGTGCGTTAAAAAATTTAAACGGCACATTTTGACGATATAAAAACCATAGATGTATGTTCTTAGTAAAGTAAAATTGTTCTTCATATTTGGCAGACCTTTTCTGGCTGACAATACACTAATGCTTATGGAAACCAAGAAAGAAAGTTACTTGTGTGACATCATTCGGAGCACTTTAGTAGCTTGAGAAAAAGTATGGCTAATTGTTACTGCAGACAACCCAAGATAAACAAATTAATCACATGAAATCAGCTTTAGTAGATCATTTTTACAGGCTAAATGTTTGGCATTCTCAGGATGACACAATATAAACATGTTATTTTTCCTCTATATTCCAAAACTCAATATAATAATGCCGGAAGCATATTTGGAATACGTATGATACCACTTTTGGGAATATTTACGATCGTTTTTGTTGCCAACATAATATGTTTATATGTACGAATAATTAATGCAGTAATTACGAAAAAACTTTCTAAAATAGTCCGTAAAATTATTATGTTCATTCGTCAAATTATCAATGGAAATTTGAAAAATACAATTTTGGCTGGTGATGGGTGCCGACGCGGCGAAAAAAAAAATTTAGCCAGTCATCCTTCTATTGTTATTAATGATACGCATTATTATTGGTGTGATTAAATGTAGCAACATTTGCGACCTTCATTTCAAACAAATACTGATGTTGACGAATTTTGGCAAACTAAACATTCTCCGGTTTATGGATCATATCTAAGAAAGGCAGAGTTTAAATGAAAAAATCTGCAATAACTTTAGCCGCCGTTTGCGATCCTTTCAATAAGATCTATTTTATGTCTCTGTAGCATTTTAAAGTTAGAAGCATATCCTGCGTAGCTATGATGTGCTAATCCTAAAAATTAAAAAAACAATTCATTGACAGAAATAAGGCCGCGGGGTAGTATCCATATTAAGAAGGTCTTCCAAGGCGCAAGTGACAGACATTTACATGCCTCCCTATTTTTAAACGGCGTAAATATAACCCCGATGTTGTTTGCTGCCATTTGACATGTCGTAACTACATTTTTGGTTACACGATTGTATTAGATTGTCCCCAAAATAGAAAACATTATTTTGGGGTAAAAAAAATTGATTGGGAAACTCTAATGCGGAAAAAGGTTTTTGACCTGTCAAACTTTAAGAAATTAAAGAATGTACAGCTAATCGCTCTATTTGAGCCAATGTTAAGTGACAAAATGTGAAACAGTTTTTTTACTGGTTGAAAAAAATTAAGAAAAAAAAGTGAACCATATAAAAAATTAGTTTTTCGGTAATCCTCTCACTAGACCTGTTCTCTTTTCCTTTTTTATACTACACTATTTAAATATCATGCCTCACTCCACCAGCGATAAGGTTGACGAACAAAATCAAGTTCCTGAGATCATTACACATCCAGTACCTAGTCGTCTTCTTGATTCAAAACAATGTCCCACACCTCATGTCAACTCTATGGAGCAATATCGCTCCATGTGGAAAGAGAGTGTTGAGCAGCCCGATATTTTCTTTGGCAACGTATGTTTTAATTTAATCTTTTTTCTCCCCCTGTGTATTTATTTTTGTCTTGTTTTTGTCTTAGCTTGCCCGTGAGCTTTTAACTTGGGATAAACCTTTCGAGACTGTCAGTCATGGCTCATTCGAAAATGGTGATATTTCTTGGTTTGTAAACGGTGAATTAAATGCCTGTTACAATGCTGTTGATCGTCACGCTTTTGCCAACCCTGACAAGATTGCTATTATTCATGAAGGTGATGAGCCTACCGAAGTCCGTCGCATCAGCTACGGTGAGCTTTTACGTGAAGTATCTCGTATGGGTAATGTTCTCAAAAGCCTTGGTGTCCGTAGAGGTGATAACGTTGCTATTTATATGCCAATGATTCCCGAAACTTTGATTGCCATGTTGGCTTGTGCCCGTATTGGTGCTGTTCATTCCGTTGTCTTCGCTGGTTTCTCCGCCGATTCCCTTCTTGATCGTGTTGCTGATTGTGGTGCTCATGTTGTCATCACTTCAGATGAAGGAAGACGTGGTGGTAAGAATATTGCCACTAAGAGAATTGTTGATGATGCTTTAAGTAAGGAAGAAGCCCATCAAGTTGAACATGTTATTGTCTATCAGCGTACTGGTTCTGAAGTTCCCATGATGGATAACCGTGATCTCTGGTGGCATACTGAGATGGAGAAGGCACGTCCAGTTTGCCCTTATGAACGTATGAGTGCTGAGGATCCTCTTTTCTTGCTCTATACTTCCGGTTCTACTGGCGCTCCTAAAGGTGTTGTCCATACTACTGGCGGTTATCTTTTGGGTGCCGCTGCCACTGTTAAGTATATCTTTGATGTTCATCCAGAGGATGTTTATGCTTGTATGGCCGATGTTGGATGGTAAGAGTAAATAATTTTTTTATCATTTTGTCACATCTAATGTATAATATAAACAGGGTCACTGGTCACACATATATTACATATGGTCCTCTTACTCTTGGTGTAACCACTGTTTTATTTGAATCTACACCTACCTACCCCAATCCTAGCCGTTTCTGGCAATTAATTGAAAAACACAAGGTTACTCAATTTTATACAGCTCCCACTGCCATTCGTGCTCTCCAGCGTTTGGGTGATAAGTGGTTAGATAACATCGATCTCTCCAGTTTGCGTGTTATTGGTTCTGTTGGTGAACCCATTAACCCTGAAGCTTGGAACTGGTATAACGAGATGGTTGGTAAGGGGCAATGCGCTGTTGTTGATACCTACTGGCAAACTGAGACCGGGTCTATTATTATCAGTCCTCTCCCTGGATCCACTCCTACCAAGGCTGGTTCCGCCACTCTTCCCTTCTTTGGTATCAACCCTGTTATTCTTGAGCCTTCCGTAAGTACTACATCTTAATTTTCTCTTCTTTTTTTCGTATTCACATAACTTACTTATATAGACTGGTAACGTCATCACTGCCGTCGATGAGACCGGTGTTCTTGCCATAAAGCAATCATGGCCTTCCATGGCTCGTTCAGTATACAACCACCATTCTCGTTTCTTGGATACTTACACTAAGCCTTATCCCAACTACTATTACACAGGAGACGGTGCCTCTATTGATAAAGATGGTTATGTATGGATTAGAGGACGTGTTGATGATGTTATCAACGTTTCTGGTCATCGTCTTTCAACTTCTGAGATTGAAGCTGCGCTCATTACACACGAGGCTGTTTCTGAATCTGCGGTTGTTGGTGCACATGATGATTTGACCGGTCAAGCTATCCATGCTTTTGTATCATTAAAATCACACTATCAATTCAATGAAGGTCTTGATCGTGAATTGATTTTGACCGTCCGTAAAATTATCGGTCCTTTTGCTGCACCTAAACGTATCCATATCGTCCGTGAACATCCCAAAACCCGATCCGGAAAGATTGTTCGTCGTATTCTTCGCAAGATTGTTAACGGCGAACATGGTCAACTCGGTGATACTTCAACCTTAGCTGATCCCTCTGTCATTCCCTCTATTGTCTCTCAGGTACACAAGAAATAGATTAAAGGCATCAAACAAATACTTCCAGCCTTTATGAACTCTTTAACTTTCTAAAAAGATTCTCCATACTCACAATTTACACTTCAAAACTTCTTTTGGGTTTTGATTTTTTTGTATAAATTATACTAATTTACCCTGTTTGCACCGATATTCTTTTTTCTAATCAATTAAATTAAATAAATAGTTTTATGACAAATTTATGATAGGGCCAAGTGATTCCCACTTAAAAAAATGAAAGGATTACGCACATTGAAAACAAATTAAAATTACACGCCCGCAGATATGTCTATCATTGATGTGATTAATAAAGTTTCTTTATTTATATATATCCAATCCTGAAACACGGTATCTGCAGTTATCAAATGGCCATCAGAAAAACTCATCTCAATTACCACCTTAGAAAAACCTGATAATGACTGCAACCCCCCCCCCCATTTTCGAAGCAGAAGCAAAGAATAATGAGACAAACCTGCAGGTTGGTTTATAAAATGGAAGTACACGGACTCGCATTTTACGCGGAGTTGAGTTTCCATAGATGTGAGGAAGAATCACGCTAGACACCCCGCTGGATCTCGTGCTGTAGTTATGATTCTAAAGGAAAGGGCAACTTCTTACACGGTTATAGGTGGTATACATCCCACCAGTGTTATTCACATAGTACTGAAGAAGTCACCTCCCAAAAAACAAACGCCTGTCAAACCTAAGAAAAGCAAAAGGAATAAAATGGTTGGAAGATGGCCGCTCTCGACAATAACACAAAGCGGAAGCGATATAGGCATCTTATGAAGAAGCCCCTTTAATATTTAAAGACACAACCTCCCTTCATTTCCTCAAATTCAATTATAAACTTCTGTATTTTATAGATCTCGGTCCAAATTTAAAAGCAGCTACCCAGTTCCATATAATTTCACTATTCATAAGAGCCATCCAATGAGACAGAAAATCGAAAGTAGAGGATACATAATCATGTTATTGCCTCCATTTTCGCCTAGGCTTAACCCTATCGAGCAGTGTAGTCATTAGTGAAAAGGAAGTTGAAGCCCAGTCGTTAACTGAGAAAATTTTGTCTATAAATTTGCTGACATCTGTAACCAGGTACACGATCAAGTGACCATGAAGACATTGCTAAGTCATACACTATTTTCATATATCATTCGTGTACGCTTAGGATAAAATTTCAATCAGCGACGAAATAAATAATCGCACAAAAAACAATTAATTTTCCATGCATAGTCTACAAGCGAAATGAACGAAAGAGAAATATATCTGTTATCATTAAATAGGTACACTGCCAGAGTAAGGGTGAACAATATCATTAGAAAGTGTATCATCATATTGAAGGGCACGAATAAGTGCCCTATGGCATGCGTACGTAAATCTCATTCTAAAAGCTTACTTCATCCAAAAGACTGACCTGCTTATGCTTTCTCTTAAAGATTGAACGATTGGGTTTCAACCAAAAAATTATTGTCTTTTTTTTTGGCCTGATTTGACACACAATAGCAAGCAAAACTTGACATTGTTGTTATTCACCCTTAAGGGGGGGGGGGGGGAGTAGCAACCCCCCCCCCCTATTTTACTCTTGTCAGCACTCTAGATGTGTTGCGTTACCGTGAGTAAATTAAATACCACTACCTCATTATAAACAACACGCTTATTTGCAACAGATATATGAGTGGATAAGCATATCGAAAAGAATAGATATGCATGCACCAGACTTCCTTCCTTACCTGACACCCTTAAACGATAAGAAAAGAATGGATTGGCAAAGCAGATACACTGCTCTTTCTGCTGTTTTTATTAAACATACTCAGTAAATTTCACAAGAGATTGCTCAAGAAACTGTTGGAAGATGTGCTACGATTGATCCTGGACGAAGAGATTTGCTATTCTGTGTGCATGAAAACTCTACTGCAAACAATCCTAACAAGTTTCGCTTTACCAAACAATACCAAGACAAGTTTGAAAAAATTAAAAAATACCTTAGAATCCATGAAGCTGTGAAACCCGCTAGAGTAGCAGCCGCTGAAAGGCTTTTGGTTAATTATGATTCCTTGAATAGAGATGAATTTGAACAGTATCTTGAAAACAGGTCCAATATGACAGGCATCATCCAAAACCACTATGTCAACTTCCGAACCAACCATCGTACTGCTCATCCCTTGCACAGAAAACTGCGGCTATCTGTCTATTTTAGAAGACAGCAAGGAAACGTGGATCTTATTGCAAAACTAGATGAACAGTTCGGTGTCGAAGCTGTTTATGTCATGGGCAACTGGTCTACTCCTAATACAAGATTTCATGAGCCGATCCGGGGCCTTTGATTCCGTTGGTTGTTTCAAAAAGCTGGTAAAAAGGTGCACTGGATTGATGAATTTAGAAATAGTCAGTGCCGTCCAGTCTGTGAACGTAGAAGTCTTGAAATGTTTCGGATGGTCGATAACCGGCGCCCTCATAGATGAGGAACAAATCCTCGTGTATTTAGAAGTGGTAAGCTCAATTTTTTTTTACGGTCTTTAAATCGATCTTTTTTCTTACGTTGTGAACAATTTTTTTTTTTTTTTTTTTTTTTTTTTACATTTTGATCTAGTATTTTCTGAAAATGGTGTAAAAGATCACACTTATAAAATTTTTATATATTAAAGCTCTCTAAAAAAATTTAACAAGATTACGTTTTTCCAAAGTGATGTCGCACGAACAAATTTAAGCTGTCGCACTTTTGACAATTAAGCTCAAATAAACAAACGAGGAAGGTTACAATGGCTAGTTCAGAAAATCATCAGCATCGATAAATACCTAATTGTTATTTCTTTCATAATCTTTACCGCTTTAAGCAGGAGCATAATTGATAATAGTGTCTTCATCCAGAGCGGTTTCACCAGAAGTCGCCATGCCAGGAGAAGAAACGCATGTACCAGAAACCTTCCTAATCAGTCACACTTACTCAATTTGGCGATCCAGAATTTTAATCCTTACATTATGTTAATTAAACATTTATCAGTACGAAATCTCTCAATATTTAAAAAACTAGAAAAGTTAATGAATTTCACTATGAGAAATACGGTATTATTCACCACTCCTGTAATTACTACTCATTACTCCAGTAATTACTCAACTAAACGTGGAAAACACCAGCCAAAATTCACCGGATCATGGGAATCCCTGATATCACGGTCCATAACATAGTTAAAACACAATAAAACATGTCTGCATTAATGTAAGGAAAAAAAGGCACAGTGTTCGGTTAGAGATAATGAAAGATTAGGCCATATTGTAAAGACTTGCGGAGTGACAAATGGAAAGTCTCTGTGCGTCACCCACCCTATAAATACCACTTTTTCACTTGAAGAACCCAAACTGCTCTAATGTCATTGGAGAGAATCAAAGATGTCCTCACCTACTTCTCCAGCGATAGGTCTTGTATCTGCAAAAATTAAGTTATTCAACAGCAAGTCTGATAATGATTCGACCGTTGCAACAACTGATAATGCACCTATAAATAACACATTACCACCTCTTCCGCCAAAACCTATAAAGATTACGGCTTTAACCTCCTCCAATTCTTCTTCTTATAGAAGTGTTGTTCAGGTGCAAACCCCACCACCACCGCCGCCGCCGCCACCTCCACCTCCACCTCCTCCACCCGCTTCAAACCCTCCGCCACTACCATTGACTCCTCCGAGACCACTTAATAGACCACAACCTTCAAAAAACCAATACAAAAAAAACCAAGCCTCACCCATTATTGCTCAAAAGAGTGGCTCATCAACATTAAAGGTCATGCTCGGAAAAGTTGTCGGTAGTGTTAGCGGTATGTTACTTTCAATAGGACCAACCTTATTCCCTTTTTTTTTTTGACTCTTTTTTTATTATTATTATTATTCATATCAGATTTGTGGACTGTCCAAAGTAATTCTTCGACTTCTTCTGCATCAGTATCCACCTCTCAAAATGGAAAGGCCAAGATATCCTCGCCATACAATATGGTTCATGTAACACATGTCGGCTTTAATCCCCAAACAGGTGAGTTTACTGGTATGCCAAGAGAGTGGCATATTCTACTCCAGCAGAGTGGTATCACGAAAAAGGAGCAGAGACAAAATCCACAGGTAGAAGATATAAATATATAAAGTTGCCTGCTGGAACTAAATTACAGAAATAGGCAGTGCTGGATGTATTAGGATTTTACAAGGACTCGAAAGATGAATCGTTGGACACAGTGTGGGATAAATTCGATAATGTACATCCTAGAAATTACACAGTAGTTAGATCAACGACGCCTCCGCCATTACCGCAAAGAACTAGGCCTCAGTTGGTAGTTGTAAACTCTAGCGACAGCACAAAACCTCCGGTACCTAGCCGCCCACCACTTGCTAATAATGTAAGTACAACCAAGTTTATTGTGATTTAAAATTAATGCATTTCCTTTTCTGTTAAGTACAAGAGTACTTCGTCTTCGACATCAACATCAACTCCTCCTCCTCCTCCTCCTATACCAGCTCGACCTGATGTATCCAGTAAAATTCCACCACCCAAACCACCACTATCGACTAAGCCGTCTATTCCTAAAAAAATGTCGTGATAAAGAAACCATCCATAGAACAGGATATTTCATCTGCATTAACATCATCCCCTACTCCGCCACCGCGCTCCAATAAGCCCGCTTTGCAAGCTGACAACAGAGCACTATCATCCGTTTATATTGCTCCGTCTGCAGCTCCATTGGATCCCGCATTTGACAATACTCAAGATAAAGCCAGACAGTTACGACGAGAACAGAGACAACAAAAAGAAGCAATAAAGGACGCCCAGGTAATAGCTGATTTACAGGCTATTTGCACTGATGCCGATCCAACCAAATTATACCGAAATATGATAAAAATTGGACAAGGGTAATGATTAACACATATTTATTTAACGCTTGCTGATGGTGCCATCTTCTTAGTGCTTCCGGTGGTGTATATACTGCACAGTCAGTTGACACTAACATGTCTGTAGCTATCAAGCAGATGAATCTGGATCAACAAACAAGAAAGGAAGTGATTATCAATGAGATTTTGGTTATGAGAGAAGCGCATCACAAGAATATTGTTAATTTTATTGATTCATTTTTGGTTACCAACGAATTATGGGTTGTTATGGAGTATATGGAAGGTGGATCTTTAACTGATGTGGTAACAACCAGTATGATGACCGAGAATCAGATTTCCACTGTTTGTAGAGAGACACTTCAAGGTATAAATCATCTTCACTCATTGGGTATCATCCATCGTGATATTAAATCAGATAACGTTTTGCTTGGATTAAACGGCCACGTCAAATTAAGTAAGATATAGGAGTTGTTTAGTATGGCTGTATCTGTTAACCGTTACTTTATAGCTGATTTTGGATTTTGTGCAAGACTCAACGATTCCGAGACAAGAACAACAATGGTTGGTACACCTTATTGGATGGCACCTGAAGTGGTGACTAGAAAAGAGTACGGACCAAAAATTGATATATGGTCATTGGGTATTATGGTGATTGAGATGATTGAAGGGGAACCACCTTATTTACACGAAAATCCTTTGAGAGCATTGTACTTAATTGCTACTAATGGTACACCTGCATTGCAGCATCCGGATGAACTATCAGATAAACTTAAGGATTTCTTAGAACAAGCTTTGACAGTGGAAAGTGCGGAAAGACCTGACGCACAGACATTACTAGAACATCCATTTTTGCAACGAGGAGAAAACGTAAAAAGCTTAATTCCATTAATTAAGGCAAGCAGGGACCTTCGAAAAGCTCATGAAATGTAATGTAATTTTTGTATCATACCATTAAAAATATCCATCCTTTGTCTTCTTTATTTTACTCCGACGTGAAAATAAGCTAGGGAGTCCCTTTTTTTTTTTTTTTTTTTTTTTTTTGAAAGACAATGTTCTTGCGAGGGCTGTTTCATATTTATATATATATATATAAATCAGAAAAAGATAAACAACAATAAAGGTTATTTTTATCATGTCCCAAAATAATAATACAAACACTGTGCCTAATAAGGCTGAAGCAAAGGCGGACCAGGCTATTGGATCTGCCAAGGAAACATTTGGTAACGCAGCCGGTAACTCGGAACTTGAATCTCAAGGTGCTAAACAAAATGCGCATGGTCACGGTAAAGAAGAAGCTCATGATATTGCCGGGATCTTCAACAAGATTAGCCACGAAGTTGAAGGCACCGTCAAAGGTGTATTTAATGCTATTTCTGGCAAAAAATAAATAAATAAAACGAGCTTCCAATGTAGTACACGTTTAATAATTTAAACCTCGGTCATTTTACTTGAAATTAGACTTTTCTTTATTTTTTGTTTTTTATCATGTCTCTCATTAAAACGAAAAGTATTTTAAAAAAAAAAGATTCCAGTTCGAATAATTCTTGGTTTTCAAAATTAGAACCTAAAGCAAATGCGAATGTGAACTCTCCCACCTCTCCCAGAATAAATAATTTGTTCAATGGCTTGAGAAAGCAACCACAATCTGAAAGTGAACAGCCTAATGTCAACTCTGAATTAGATGCAAAAGAGTTAAGAAGAGTTCGATTTCCAGTTGCTTCAATAACAAAAGAATATCTCTTTATGAAAGAGGATCCCATTACTGAAAGAAAGTCTCCGACAGCTATTGAGCCTATCAATATACAAACATTGGCTCAGTTATTATCCCTGTACGAGCTGGTTTGTAGAAACAAACAAGTGCAGACAATCGACTTGTTAGTCTCCACCCTAATTGTAAATATCCATATAATTTTTTTGTCCTAGTTACTGACTCTTCTTTTACAATAGAATCAGCAGCAGACTAGTTTTTTAACCAGGATTGACCTCACCAACCAACATATTGATAGATACAATATTGAACCCCTCGCCGATATCATGTCTGTTGAGTTTGGTCTTCAGGAACTCGTTCTTAATAATTGTGGACTGGAAGATGATGTAAGTAAACAATAAAACACATACTTTCTCTTTTACTTAACAGCTTTTTCTTTTTTAGGCAATTAAAGTTTTAATGCACAGCTTATTAAATAACGACAAGATTACACAATTAAATTTGGCAAACAATCCAAAGATTACCGCAGTCGGGTTTAAATACATTGCCGTATATATAAAGGGTGTAAGATCTACATTGTATATATATATTCAATATTTGTTATTTTGCTAAGATATATTGCATGTAGTCTTCCCAACTAGCAAAATTAGATCTATCGTTTACCCAGCCCGATAAAAAAAGCATTCAGTATATCACAAGTGCAACAGCAAAGACCGAGAATAACCTACTGCCATCGCTTACTACACTGATATTAAATGGATGCTCATTACGTAATCAACAAATAGAAACGCTCGCTGCTGGTATCAGAAAATCGTCTATACGACAATTATATTTACGAAGTAACCGATTTGTTAATGGAGGTGCATTATCTATTGGTGTTATGCTACGGGATTATGATGACTCTTTACATAGCTTGGAGGGCCTTTATTTGGATAATAACGATTTGAGTCAAGGTATCCAATACATAGCACAAGCATTGAGACGAAATCAAAGCCTTTCAACTTTGTCCATGTGTGATTGTAAAATTGATACAAAAGGATGTGTTTTGATTGGTGAAGCACTGGTAAGACAAAGTGATACAAAAAATAGTAACGAGATCAATTGGCACTGACACGTCAATAGAGATATAATCAGCATTTACAAATTCTTGATATAGGATATAATCCTCTGTGCTCGCCTAACTTGGACGGTGTAAGTCAAAGCCAATTAAGTGTTTTTATTTATCGTTTATTGACATTTATTAGATTAACTTAATCCGGAAAGGATTAAACATCAATAGATCGCTTTTGGATTTTCGCATGCCTGACACAGGTTTGACAACAGAAGGTAAAAACCAAATAACTTGAAATAACAATGGCTACTTACCACCGGAACTAGCTTGTATCGCTTTAGCTGAGTGTATCCCCGAAAACAACGCTTTGGTAAGACTTGACTTATCTAGAAATCCTCGTATTGAACTTGCTGGCCTTATGGCAATATATGCTTCCATCAAAATGAATCACACAATAACATACGTTGATATCAATATACCCGTAAGCTATAATACAGTTTCTTAGAACGTATCGATACAAAAACTAACGGCGTATGTAATAGACTGATGATTCAGAAATGGTTATGATTTATAACGGTATATTAGCAACATGTGATATAAATAGGCAATCTAGTAAGCAGGGCACTCAGCAAACGCCGAACCCTCCTGTGACTACAGCACAAACAACCGCCAGACTTACATTACAGGAGCGCTTGGCAGCAGTTACCAAAGGAAAAGCCTACAAGAATGTACCTGCTTTCTCATCTGAACCCAGTATATCTTACACTCGTACAGAAACGAAGCAGCAACAAGCAAACATTGATGATTCTATTTTAATAAGGAATGCATTTGATTGTGTTGGCACCCTTGAGGATGCACTTTCTGACAATGATAGAAACATATCGTCGGGTAATATACTTGATAGTTGTAAGAAGGTGCAAGCAGATATCAGTGCTAGGATACCCCTTGTATCTGATCCAACGAATTTAGGTAAGAGAAACAAAATAAATTGATACAGTGTATGATGTTTTATCCAATCCAAATACAGAAATTATGCTTGCTATAAATGATCGACTTACAACCGCCATGCAAGGCTTTAACACGACAACAGACAAGATATTGGATATTGATACCACGAATAGGGTTAAAGAAGAAGAAAATTTATCTGCATCGTTTGAAATAGGTGATGATGACGATGACGATGATGATGAAGCAGAGGAAAGAGAAAAACATTTAAAAGAACTGCGTAGTGAAATCGAGGCAGAAGAAAGTGCCGCCTTTTTAAAGGCTAAACAAAGTGAGCTTGTTATCGAAGAATAAAATCCTATATCTAATTATTTTATCAAATATCGAGCGTTAACACATAAGGATCAAAATGCTGTACTTCTGTCATATAAAAATTCACACAATTGAGGACGCTCAAAATTAACTTAAAAATAATATGTGACAATATGCAAACCGGTCGGACTTGATTCAGCTAAAATCAGTTGCTCTTGGGACAACTTTAATGTGTATATTTTTTCTTCTTCACAAATTATAAAAATGGATATTCCAGTCGAATTGAAATACATAACTCCTTACGTTCAGCGTGGTCAGGAATTGGCCACAAGAGATCCTGTAGTATCATATTATGGTATATACTAGCATTGTTTATCCAGATGGACTTTCTAACCACATTGCTTTAAAGCCCAATATTATGCCGCCAAATTAGCTATTGCAAGAGGACCTAGAACAAAAGAAACGAACGAATATTTGTCCCATTTACTCGACGCTTTAGAAACTGTAACGTTTGTATAATAGCCGTCGCTTAAACACCTGCTAACACTGCCCTTTAGCAAAAAAAAACCATTGGGGAAAACGAAGCCATTACAGATGACTTGGTTGGATATGCTCATGTTGAGAACTTCGCTCTGAAGATATTCCTGAATGCAGATAATGAAGACCGCTCTGGAAAGTCAAGCAAGTAAGTTTCTTATTGATTTTGACACAGATTACCGAGACTCACGCTGCTTTTCTGTTAAGAAAAACAGCAAAAACTTTCTTGGCTGCTTCCATCTTTTTAGAATTGTTAAAAACCTTTGGCGATCTTGATCCCGAGGTAATTTCTGAAATCAGTTGAGTGAATATAGCGTTAATTTTGAATAGGTTGAGGCCAAGATCAAATACTCTAAATGGAAAGCAGCTGATATTATGAAGGCTTTGCGTGAAGGACGTGTACCTACGCCAGGTTCACCCGGAGAAGAAGAACAAAGCGAAAATATACCTTCCATATCGGAGTTCCCTAGTCCACCCTCTAACTTTACAGCGCCTTTACCACCCAGTAATACCTCTGATGTAACTCATACACCACCACAATTACCAAAGCCTGTTACTTCTCAACCGTCTGCTAATTCTCAACCACATGTTACTGCTAAACCGCCAGTTATTTTTCAGCCAACCATTGTTGCTAATCCTGCTGTAGCTCCTCAGTTAGCAACTCCTGTCAATCTTAATACCGTAGGTGATGCACAGATCGCCTCTGCTCAAAAGAATGCTAAATGGGCCATCAGCGCATTGGATTATGAGGATATTAAAACTGCACGTTTGCAATTGCTGTCTGCATTAAATGACATTGGTTTTAATCAAGAAAATAATTTTGGATTTTAAATAAAAAGAAAAATTAAGTCGCTTTTCCAATGACAGTTTTACATAGGAGCGATACATTATTAGACCATGTGTCCAATGCCTCATATTTGTATGCGTCCGTAGACCTAAAATACGATTAGATATCTACACCAGAATAGATAATGATTACATACCTTCGGTCCAATACTAATCTGCTATAAACCTGATCAATTTGGCCAGAGATTCTTTCATCCAAAATTAATCCAACCAGAAGTTCCTCCACATCGTCAGTGGGTATATTTAATTGCTAAATGATGTGTTAATTTTTTCTTTAAGGATCATACATTGGAGATCTTACTTTAGAAATAAATGTAATCTCTATACTTGTGTATGGCTTAATCAGTTTGATAAGCACTTGTGTGCGAATGTTTCTCAGTACGTCATCAATATAGGCACGAATAAAAGGATCTCCCATAATCGAATTTTGGTTGACTATTGTAAAAGAAATAAGAATTAAAGTAGACACATATTTGCATAATCTACCTTTCAATATGTGCTCAAACTCATTAATTTCCTTCTTTTGATAAGCGCTAACTAAGTTGGTCATGGCTTCAATCTCCTTGTCGTTCTTGTATCTAATCGGGCATGTTAAAATTGGGAGCAATAACTAAGTTATATGCTTACGGTTTAGTTTCCTGAGAGTCAAATGGATTGATTTGAGATTCAGTAAGCATGTTTGCAAGAACAAGATACCTGATGACAATAAAATTCAGTAAATCGCATAGTAAAATACCATATTAAACATACTTTAAGACCTGAATACGCTGAGGGCTACCAGCTTCATCATAATTTTTGAAGGACTCAAAAAAGTCAGTCTGAGCGTCATCCCATTTTTCTATAATACGATCAGTATGTCTGTGTAATGATAAACCTTATACACTTACTTTCACTCATGTGCATTTTTCCGCCACATTCACGGATAACACCCATAATTCGAGGATGAGGAATGGCTGATTTAACAGAAAGGCATTGTTGATATAATTCCTGATAGCAAGGTGATTAGTAAAAGACATAACATAACAGTAAAAAGTGACAAACCTTTAACTTCTTGTTATTCTTTGTTTCTGTGTACATTTGAATTTCAAGAGCTAAAACTTCAAGTAAATGCGTGCCTTTTCTTTGATCATCTGTTCCGTCATCCTTTTGACAGGCGGCATGAAGTTGTCTTATAATTTTAGTTAGCCTTCCATATTCCTTTCGATCCAACCAAAGTTTCGCTAGTTTCAAATTAGTCTTGACCCATAATCTTTCATTTTTATTCTCTGCTAATGATTCCAGCGTAATTTCATAGAATTTTTCCATAAATGACATGTTGTCTGCTAATGATACATTATCCAAAATATTGTTGATACTCTTCTCACTGTAATTTCTTGTCACTGCTGTTTTTATGTAGGTCAATAATTCGCGGTAATATTTCAAAGTGTCATCAAAGTTGTTTTGTTGAAAGGATATCTTAATCATTTGCTTTAAGGATTTAAACCCCCTATATCTGTACTTAATACTTGTATCTTTTTTGCATACATACTTATTTTCTACTTTTGCGCTATTTACCAATCTCCCTTTGTTTCTTCTGTATCAACAACACTTTGAAACTCTATCAAGGCTTCTTTTGGATCATCCTCCTTCCTTGCTGTTATTACAAAAAAAAAAGAATGGTATCAGTCATCGAAACAATTTGCGAAATGATAGCAGCCGAACCTTTAGCATTATAGTATTTATTTTCTAAATCAACGTCAGGTTCCTCTTCTTCGTCATCTTCATAATCAAAGTCGTAGTCCTGCCAATAGAGTCAGTTAAAATCGCGTGTTATATACGCTTGTATACAAACCTCCTCTTCATCTTCAAGCATAAAATCGTCGTCGTCACTCATTATTACAAATTAACTTTGGTATAAGTTTAAAAAAGGTACTTTCGTCTTTTTTCTTTGTCTGCCAATGCTTGCATGCACGGAGTAGTTTTCAGTCACACATCCCGGTCCGGAGCTTATAATATCACAGCCATCATGCTTGGACGAATCCACACCTCAAGTAAAATATGCGACACGCTTTGTTTCTCCGCGTACGCCCTGCCTCTGTATGAAGCATAAAAACAAGGTTTTCTTCAACTTAAGCAGTTCGACAAGTCTTCAATTAATGGTTTGCCGATTCAAATTCAATATTTTACCTACAAAAATCCCACATTGGTCTCGAATAGAACGGTTTCATATACATATCTTTACCGTTTAAAAAGGTACATATGGCATCCGAGTGTATAGATGTATAGCCTGAAACCTTCTTTTGAAGCAGCTTTGATACAGGGGTCTAATTTAGGGATCAGTTGGACATCCTGTTAGACTGATCATTGAAAAAATGGTCACCAAGTAGAAATGATATGATATACAAAGAATTGATACGTTCAATTACTGGTTTTAAAGTATTGCAGCCATTTTACACAAATAATTGTTAGACCCAGTGGCTAAACAATTAGCATATTTGTACTATTGAAAGGATTTAAGCTTACTGAGATTGAAGAGGATGGTTTTACTGCTTTCTTCGGTTGTTGATTGTCCTTTGCCATCGGTTGATTGAAGACATGCCTAAAGACAAGAGTTAGGAAGTCAGCAAGTTCATCCAGGTCTTAATTTTTAACGCGTTATTTACTCCCAAATTCTTTAAAGGAGCTTCCATGGACTTATTAGCCTTAGCACTGGGTAGCTAATTTCGGACTGAGTCATCCGAACCGGATTTGAGTTGAGTATGGGCATCCTGAATGCTATTGAAGCTCTGTTCATGATGAAAGCAAAGTTCTCCAACTTTCCAGCCCCTGTTTTTTTTGTTAAGGTACGCCTAGAAACAAAAACATCTGTACTAGTCACTGAGATCTAGTGAACTGAAATCCTGAAAGGGGGGTTGTTTCACTGGTTTCTCTAGTAAATGTTACTTCCATGAAATTTCGTAAATGACACCAAGAAATTCAACATACTTCCTTGGGTTTTGAGTGTACTTACGGAGAGCATACTTTATATTCTTTTTCTATGAACAAATTCAGAAGGCAAAACTTGCGATATATCAAATCCGCTACATTTTTTCAGAATAACTTTGTTACAAAAGTGGCTTTCTTGATTACCATTAACATAGCATTAGTGATAAAAAAAAACTGGCTTTGACATATGCTTGAGTTTTCGAGTGAAGCACTTAATTTGGCTCGAACACAACCATATCTTTAAAAAGTTTATCCCGCAAAGCTTTTTTTCAATGATACAGAAAGTTTTCTATGTTGTTCTTCGTTTTGATGCTGCTTGATACTGGTGGAAGAGGTTCCCTTTAGCCTGATTAACAGTTTCTCTTTAGAGGGATTCCAAAATCACGTCAAAATGTTAATTTACACAATCTTTTCAAATATTAATGGGTAGCTTCTTGCTATTTTTGTTCATGATATTCATTCTTAGGCCATTAATAAGCGCAGCATCAGTCATAATTCGAGTATGTAGTCTCACTTCTTGTTTGACAAGCCGTCTTTTAAGTTTAAGAGAATCGATTCGAGTTTTTTGCTGTCTTTTATTATATTAGACATCATAGCAGGGATATGTTTATGCCTTGCTGTATTAAAGTAAGTAAGGTAAAAATTATCATTGCTGTGCTGCTTTTTTTATCCTTTTCGTAAAATTTGGTATAGAGGTTCTTCATTACTGAGTCTTCGCCTGTTTAGTGTATCGGCAAAGGCGTCTTTCTTTAGTCTTCAGATGAAGTCAATTGTCTTTCTTACTATAAACGCGCACACTATACAGGTAAGATAAGCTATAATGAATATAGACGCTTGTCTTTTTAAAAACACCTTTGGGTAAGAAATTTAGAGCATCCTCAGCGGTGCACTTAGATTTCCACTGAGGCTGAGTGACAAATCTTTATTTTCTTTTCTCACTCTTTTTTCGTTTTTACACAAAACTTTTATAACGGTAACTGCAATGCAGTCTGATTCTAATAATAATGAGGACGCAAGAAGCACCAGCTCAACTTTAGTAAACGGCGAACATAGCGCTAGAAATGAAGCAGATGTACCCGAAAGAACGACAACCGAAGACCCTCGCCCAACTAATTTGAACCTACCTCAAATCAGACACGGTTTTGACCAAGAGTTATATGAAGAAGATATCATTCGGTTTTTGTACTTTTCCGAAAAAAGACATGACACCAATGCTCAACCAAGTGTTACTGTGCGCAATGCTTTGAAAGATTGGGTAATTATTCTGATGTTGGCTCTGTTATCATATATTGATTATTTCATGTAGCGACTTAGAGAAAGAATAAAGACTGTGTCAGGTAACTTCTTTAATAAACTACCTGGATAAGGCCTAACATGATTAAATAGGCTTGTTGGTGGTGTGTCTCAACATTGGTACTGATCCCCCAGATGTAGTCAAAACGAATCCTTGTGCCAAGTTGGAATGTTGGATAGATCCCTTTTTACTTATTCCACAAAAATCGCTGGAAGCCATTGGAAAGAACCTACATAATCAATACGAAACAATTAACGGACGTACACGATTTAAATTGTCGTTGGACCCTTCTGTTGAAGAAACCAAAAAGGTGTGCTGTCAAATGAGAAGAAATGCGAAAGAAGAACGAATTTTGTTTCATTATAATGGACATGGTGTACCAAAACCGACCACAAGTGGAGAAATATGGGTTTTTAATAGGAATTATACACAATACATTCCTGTTTCATTATTTGATTTGCAATCTTGGCTTGGTTCTCCCGTCATTTATGTTTGGGACTGCTCCGCTGCCGGTAATATCATTAATGCATTCAATAGATTTGCTGAACAACGCGATACAGAAGCTTTAAGAATGGCGCAACAACATCAAAGCACTTCAACAACCCAAGCTTCTTGGAAGGATAGTATACAGCTGGCTGCTTGTGGCCCTACAGAAACCTTACCAATGAATCCCGATTTACCAGCTGATGTCTTTACTGCTTGTTTAACTACCCCAATCGAAATGTCTTTGCGATGGGTCGTAATGAGAAACCCTCTATTAACCTCAAATATTACAATGGATATGGTACTTCAATTACCAGGAAGATCAACTGAAAGGCGTACTCCCCTCGGTGAATTAAACTGGATCTTTACTGCTGTAACTGATACAATTGCTTGGTGTGTACTTCAAGATAATCCGGAGTTATTCAAAAGATTGTTTAGACAGGATTTGACTGTTGCTTCCATGTTTAGAAATTATTTATTAGCCGAAAGAATTATGCGATCATATCAATGTACTCCAATGTCGACTCCAAAATTACCTGAAACCCATGACCATCCAATGTGGCAAGCCTGGGATCTAGCTGTCGACATGTGTTTATTCCAATTGCCTGCCTTGAAAGCTGCTGAAAATGGTGGTCCTCCTCATGAGTATCAATCGAGTACATTCTTTTCGGAGCAATTGACTGCTTTCGAGGTTTGGTTATCAGAAGGTGCTGTCAATCCAAAGATACCTGAACAGTTACCTATTGTTTTACAAGTTTTGTTGAGTCAGGTGCATAGACTTCGTGCTTTAATTTTACTCAGTAGATTTCTAGATTTAGGTCCTTGGGCTGTTAATGCCGCTTTATCTGTTGGTATTTTCCCCTATGTTTTGAAACTGTTACAAAGTCCTGCAGCGGAACTAAAACCCGTCTTGGTGTTTATTTGGGCTAGAATATTAGCCGTAGATAGGTCTTGTCAAAATGATTTATTGAAAGACCACGGGTATGCCTACTTTATCAATATATTGACACCGAACAATGCAATGCTAAGTATACCCCATGTGTCTGAACACCGTGCCATGAGTGCTTTTATCCTGTCGGTCTTTTGTACGAATTTCAAGATGGGCCAGCAAGCTTGTTTACGTGGCAATGTAATTAGTGCCTGCTTAGCTCACGTAAAGGATCCTGATCCATTATTGCGTCAATGGATTTGTTTATGCTTAGCCCAAGTCTGGATGAACAACAGCGAAGCAAAATCTGCCGCTATTGCCGAAAATGGACACGAAAAGTTATGCGCCTTACTTAGTGATAATGTTCCCGAAGTACGTGCATCAGCCATGTATGCACTTGGTACATTCTTAGCAGATCCCAACAAAACAGAACAAATTGTTAATATTGAGCATAACATTGCCATCTCAGCGTTAACTGTTATGTCAGATGGCTCTCCTATGGTTCGTAGAGAGTTCATCATTGCTTTGTCTCATATAGTAGATCAAGCAGGCCCTGGAAAGTTTTTAGCAGCTGCTAGCCAGACTATTGAAGAAGATCAGTCTCAGAGGTCTGTTTTTGGAGAAGATCGTGGAAAGATTATTCGTGGCAGGCAGTCTGAATGGAGAGCTGCATTGGATGGTCACTTTGGCTCATCAAGCTATGACTCTGTTTATGCAGTTATTTGGAAAGCTTTGTTAAACCTCTCGGTTGATCCCCATCCTGATGTCTCCAAATCAGCTGCAACTGTTGTAGATCACATCAACGCTCTTCTGCTAAGTACGCCAATGATTGGTGAATATGCATCAAATTTAGCACGGGAATCTGCTCATCAACAAGCATCTCAAGATAACGCTGCCTTTGGATTAGATAGATCATCATCTTTTCAGACTTTTGAGGAAAATAGTAGTAGATTATCCGCAACAAATCAGTCATCACCAATGACGCGTAGACCGGTCAAACTAACTAGATCGGTCTCGTTTGCTTCCACTCTGCGTACCATATATAATTTTGGTAACACGTCTTCCAACCTAAACGCTCCCCCTACCAATGCAAACGACCTTCAGCAACAAAGTCCCAGTAGTGAAAACAGTCGGAATGTTGCCTCCACTGCTACAACAAAGCATAATTCTTTAAACAAAAATACGGGTCAGCCAGCACCTACCGAAGATAGTGCTTTACCTTTACTATCTACTTTCTATGACTGGAGCTGCGAATACTTTACAGAGCCTCAGATGAGAGTGAGTGAACTGTTGAGATATCTTCTCCCGTCAAAACTAATTTTTCTTTAATAGGCTGCTGAAGCAGATGAACCTGGAAGTGTTGTTTATACCCAACGAAAATGGCGTAGAAGTCGTAACGAAAAAATTTTGCAAGAATCTAATTCAACCAAAGGCATGGCTGGGTCCAGCCGATGGGATGAACAAATCAATTCTATGTACAACGATACGGAAGCAACTCTTCTGCTGCTACATCAATTTGAACCTCATTTAGTTGCAGCTGACTCATACAATTGTTTGGTGTAAGTAACATCATTGTCATTTTTTGCTCGGAAAAAAAAACTTACTATGTGACTTGATAGTGTTTGGGATTGGAAAACTGGTACTCCTCTAAGTGTAATTGATAATCACAATCCAGCACACAGTCGAATTTCGGATATGAAATTTATCAATGAGGAAGATGAGGCATTGCTCTTGACTGGATCAGGTATGAAGACAATGTATTTTAATTTTTAATGTTTAACCTTGCGGCTATTAGACGATGGCGTTGTTAGACTTTACAAAAATTACGACGGAAGTGACCAAGAACAAGCGGTATTAGTAAGCTCATGGCGGGCACTTAAGGATATGGAGAAAAGTAATTCGAGACAAAGTGGCCTTGTCAGCGATTGGCATCAAGCAAGAGGTTTACTGTTTACCGGTGGCGATGCTAGAATTATTAAAGTTTGGGACGTTCATCAAGAAATGCCTGTAATGGTAAATGACATTAGACTTCATAGTTTTATAACATATGGCTAATTCATTAATAGGATATACCTACTCAATCACTTGGATGTGTTACTAGTATCACCAGTGACCAAGTGAACGGGAACATCATCATTGCTGGTTTCGGTGATGGATCTATTTCTGTGTATGATCGTCGTCTCAGCCAAGATGAATCGTAAGTAAAGCAATACGATAACCCTTTTTTTCTTGTTACTAAAGGAGCAATAGACTTGTCAAGAAATGGGATGAACACAAGGCGTGGGTAACTGGTGTCCACTTACAACGTGAGGGCAATCGAGAATTAATTTCAGGTGGATTTGAAGGTGATATTAAGATCTGGGATATTCGTGAAACCCAATCTTTAAGGACAATCGAAGCTCACACCCATAATGAAATGACTGCCTTGGCAGTACACGATCATAGTCAAATCATTGCAAGGTAAGGGCTCAAAATAAGATGCTTATATGTGTACTTAAATGTTTCTATAGTGCTGGCGATGATCAAATTATCAAAGTTTGGAACATGGATGGTCAAAGACTTTCAACGATCCGTCCTTCTTCTGGTTTCCTGGGCCAAAAGTCATCGTCTACTCGTACATTAGCTTTCCATCCCAATCTTATGTTCATGGCTGCTAGTAGTGATGATGGCTATATTAATGTAAGTTATATTCTCCGATACCACCTATATTGTATCACTAACCGTAAACATGTAGTTATATGGAACACATTAAAATGTGACAATGATATATAAACATGTTACCCCTAAAGTTTTTCCCGTATTCTTATATGTTATTATTTTAATATCACTACTTTATCCAGCCATCCAATATAGAATTAAAGTGTAACCCCTCATTCAGATCATAGCCATTATAAGTACTGAGTGATTAAAAATTAAAACTATAATAGATTATTTCGAATCGCTTAATAATTTTGGGTGTTTAGGCCAAATAATTAAACAATAAGAGTGTAGACATATTTTTAGCTTTGTGTGATAGCTGCATCAAAGATACAACAAAAAACTATAAAGGATGTGGTCATTCTTGTAATTGTTTATGCTGGTTGGGCAACGTTTATGACGTTTCCAATGAACCTTAAGAAAGTTTATGGGGGTAATGTCATTTTCATTCGTCTTGAATCACTTGAAGCCTTAGAATTTTAGTTTTAATGCACTTTCCTTCCATTGTTTTGCTAAAAACCAAATAATACTGTAAAGATAATCTGTTAGTTGGGGCGATAGAAAAATGATAAAATAATAAAATTTAAGACCTATCCTATATAAAGTTATTACGGTAGGCCGCTTCTTGTTTTTTTTACAGAAAAAGATGTCAGTTTGATAAAACTCATTAGTATTTTTTTGTGACTTTTGGGTTAAAGGAAGGACAGGGCAAACCAAGTATAACCGAGCAAGCACCAGAAAAGTCTATAGCTGCTGTCGGAAGTGTATCTCACCCAAGAGTGGCTTGACTTATAGCAAGTGATTAACAATACGTATTATGACATATGAAATAGCCGCTTACAGTCTTAACTTTGTCTTACCCTTGCTTGTGCTCATTGGTGATACAAACAGCTGCATATCTTAAATGTTGCTTCAGTTTCCACAACCGACCATAACGGCTAAATCCCTTTAGACTTGAACCTACACCGCACCCTCTGTCACGAACAAACATGATTTCTTTTTATACTTATTGATGAGTGACATGTGGTATCTTTCTTTTTGACAAAGCCGATCAATAAACTTTTGCTTCTGTAGCATCTTTATTTTATTTTATTTTCAATTTTTTTGAAGAATTATAAAAATTGAGGAGCGTATCAATATTGGAATACATTTTTTGCTTCCATTCGGTGACTGTACTTAAGTTTCTTGTGCTTTTTTTTTTTTTTGGTCATCATTAGACCCAATATTTAAAATCTCTATCCCTATTTCGACTTTTTTTTTTCTCTCTCTCTAATCCTTGCCGATATAACCTATTTTCACTACCATAGTCAGCATGAGTAAGTTCGATAGCTCTTTGGTCTGACTTTATTTCCAATGGGTCTGACTGTGGTTCTGCTGCATGAGCATCTAGAAGCAAAAATCCAATATTTAGCATCTACCAATCAATAAAAATAATTTCTGTAATGTATCATTACCTTCTATTAACGCAGAAAACTCATTATACAACTGTAAATAAAATTTAAACATGTCCTTCAAAAATTTTACGGTATCTGTCATAGATATACGATCCAGAGAAAGGAATTTTTCTTGGGTTTAGTAAACCTGGAGTGATTGTACAGTTTTCTGCCTTTCCCATTCCTTTATAGTTATTTTCACTTACCATAAATGTCATTTCGGTATCATTCTTTTGCAATTCTGCACCAATGAAGTTATTAAACATCATTTGTCGTTCTGCAGCCAACTTTCCGCTTATTTTTTTTTTTTTTTTGGATCTCTGCGTCAAGATGGTGTTGCGGGGATAATAACTTTGATAGTAAATGTAACTGGATTCTTGAATTTAAAATTGAAATGATCTTATAACTGTAACAAAAGATGCAAAAGTTTTAATATAAGGAGCAGATAAAAAGGCTCCTTATTGCATCTCTCGTTACGGCTTTTATACAAAATCAATGGTGTAACACCCAAAAAAAAAAAACTAAACCCTGATCCCCATGACAATGGATTCGTCTTGCTTTTACTAAATGTATTTCTTGGTACAGTTATTAATTATATTCCTTCTGGGTAGGTGTTAACTGACCGAAACCGTCTTTCACAATCCATTTTTTCTATTAATCACAAATGTTGTTTCGCAAAAAAAAAAAAAAAAAAAAAAAACTCCTTCTTTCCATTTAATTCCTTCGTAAAACATCAACTTTGGCTTACTGTATCATTTCAGCGTGTTTTGAATCAACGGTATTATCTAATAGTAATATTCTTCTTGTCTTTCTTGGGTGAACTTGCTACAGAATATTACATTTTGCAGTTTTAACGGTATCCATTTACTCGCACAGTTTTGCATCCAGGAGAACCATCATACTATGTGCAAAGATTAACCGCCATGTTTAATGTAAATTCTTTGAACTTTATCCAAGTCAAAGAAAGAACCAGAAACAGTATCTTTTGGCTCGGTTGCTACCTGACGTTATCTAATAACCTCGTTATAAAAATTATATAAATTCATTGGTAGATTAACATTGTTTCAAGAGATGGAAAATATTGTGGGCGCGTCTAACTTGAGTGGAAGAATGGTCGATACATTCACTAAAGATAATAACTTCTTTCGAAACTTGCCATAGCCTACATAGCGGAAGATATCGTCCCACATTAACATGAATGGCAATCTGATAATGATGGTATACGTTATAGGATTTATCGTGTATAAACGGTGACATAAAATTGACAATCTTCGAACACACACCTCTGGCTCCTTTGAACTTAAAGCATAGCATACAGAGCTAGAGAAACAAAAACAAGTACTGAATAAACTTACATATTATCTGGTTCCATGCTATTAAAATTAACTTATGGGTTGTAGCAAAATATTTCCTTTAATGTTGATACAATGTGAGTAGTAGTGATTGGTTTAGATTGAGTTTTGACAGTAAGGTAGAAGGAGAATAATACACGTTTGTAGTTAATTATTCAGTTCTAAGTGAGCACCACGTTGTTTTATATAAATATATAATAAATATATATGGTAACGATCCAGTTAAGTAAAATAAAATAAAAGGTCTTGATAGACAGATACAGAGAAAAAGAGACTAAGGTTTCAGTTTTAACTAGGGAGACAGTAAGATAATAAGCCAATTATATATAGAAGATATAATATTGGTTAGGCAAGTTATGATAAAAGTATATAGTAAAATCTGAATGTTTATTGAAATATGTTTTGTTTTAAGGTTTATATAGTTTTTGAGAAATCAAAGGATCGGTAACGATACCCTTGATTTCGGATAAATGATAATAATAATAAATTTGTCAAAAGGTTTTAAATATAAAAAGGTAAAGATTCAAGTTAGAGAAGTACAATGCTAAAAGTTAGCATGAAAAATATAAATTGTCTGAGTAAAGCTTTTAGTGTTGAAGTCAATTATTACATATTAAAAATCCGCATTATAACAATGTATTATAAGGATAGAAGAATAGCTTGCGTTTGGTGTGTTATTAAAGCAATCAATATTTATGTAAAGAAAAAAAAAAAAGCGGCAACTATATACACCACACAAGTTAAAAATTCACAAAAATATGTCGTCGCCTGCAGGATTTGAACCTGCGCACGCAGAGCGTATATGATTTCTAGTCATACTCCTTAACCACTCGGACAAAGCGACTTTTGATGAGAAATGGAACCACATAATTAAATATATACAACGTAACAAAAAATGTTGTGTCACGTGATCATTATATTTTATACGTCGTCCATTTCTATATAGAGATTATTATTAGTACCCTAGTTGCAGTTTCGCCGTCTATAAGAACGAATGATAGAATAGTCTCTTTGTCGCATTAAAATTAAAGATATATCAGCTTCACAATAGTAATTGTATTTATACCATAGTTGTGATAATTGAGAATAAAAAGGGAAATGTAAATTGGAAAATAAAGCAAGTAAAGAAATGAGACTCTATGATCCTTTATTATAAGTTGGAGAGTTTGTCACGATAAAAATAGAGGTCCTTTTTATATTCAATTATTACTTCAAGATTTTTCCTGCGCAGTGTTGTGATCGAGCTTATATACAGATATAACTCTATCATCAATTCTTTCTTTCTTATTTGATAACCTTTCTATAAATCATTATTGCATTACTCTTTAAATCAAATACATGCTATTACACTCTATTTACTACGCATTGATTACTCATCAACATATAGAAAACAATAGTCATACATTTATTCCAGATAATACAATCCAATGATATGATCGCTCGTCAATAACAAGATTCTCGAAGGTACCATGAGATGCTCGATCTTTAATTGACAATACGCCTATTGTATATTTGACAGGTTTCACTTTAATGATTGATATTCAGCCAGCCCTGAATATGTATATAAAGAACCCAATTTATTGTATAATAAAGATTTTAGTTTATTTTTGCAGTTTGATAATTTTACTTCGTCAAAATTCTTTATTTTTATTCTTAATTCGTTGCTTTATCTCTCGAATTTCTCACGCAGATCGAATTGACTATTTACCCGCAAACTGGGAAATGATAGAATTAGATTTGGAAATCAGTTGCATATGAAACATAGCTTATTGTTATATACAAGGAGCTAGTTGACCCATATCCGGCACTTCTAGAGCATTATAGTTTATCCATTTAATGACAGGGTTGTGGAAATCGGTGTAGATTTATAAAATAAAAAACAAGAAAATTATCAAACTTGCAAAAATTAACTAAAGCTTTATTAAACAAATAAAAGGGGGTCTTTATATACACATTATTTCAGACATTGATCACAGATGGGCTGATGACGGTAGTGGGTAGATTCATCCAGATAATACTCGGATGTAATGATCCCATATAGAAAGACCATAATGAGATGTCAATAACAATAACAATAACATTCATTCTTAAACTGTGTATGTCTTGTAGCACAATATTCAGGGGAAGATGTAGTTCTTAATTCAGATAGCTGTGGCACCTCAATGTGGCTGATGTAACCTTCATATGTGTTCATATCAATGTTATTATTTAAATGTATGTCTTATACTTGTATGAAGGATGATACGAGATCAAGCCTGTACATAAAGTAAATGATCAGTATTTAATATAACAGTATCAATAAGAATTATATTTAGGATTATCAAATGGAAGATTTAAGAAGTGTAGATAGAGTCATATATTAAGTATATAGCCTCGATCACGACAAGGGTACTTGATTGGATTACTAAAATAAATTTATGAGAAACTAGAAGATTCGGCAGCTACTCGACTAGTGTTCGAACTTTTCGAGCTTGCACCGATCTTGCGCCAGTTCGAACGAAGCTCGAACCGAGTTTTTGTACTCGAGCTTGCGCCACTTTTTTTGGGTTCGAGTGAGCTTCGATCGATGCTCGCTCGGCTAAAATGTCGATAGTAGTAACTTTAAAGTTAAGGTCCTTGAAAGACTACAGATGGCATTTCCCCTTGATTATAATCTTTTCTTCCCTTTACCATTTTTTTTTATTTATGCTCTAATAATTCCAACTAAAATGCTTTGGACTTTTATTTAATTGTACAACCAACAAACACATTTACCATAGAAAATGATACAGTGTTGCACACTATGCCCAACTAAGCCAAATTTTTACAGCAACCATAGTAACATGACGTAGCAGAATTAATTTAAACTTTCATGTTCAAAAATTCAAATGTATTATAATTATAGATGCAGTAATAGTTTGATTTAATTATCCGAATTTGGTGTTAAGGCTGGTGAAAAAAAAAGTTTTCTTTTTCTTTTTCCAACTTCTATTTCAATAAATAACAATTTTATTATCATAAATTTCTGTAATTAACATCACTTTGACGTGCACTTTGTGTAATAAAAAGGGCGAGCGAGTTCGAGCTATCGTATTTGCAACCGAGCCGAGCTTAAGAAACTTCGAGCGAGCTCGAGCTGCAGAAAAACGCATCCGAGCGAGCTTCGACTGGAACACGATCGAAGCTCGCTCGAGAGTTTCGATCTTCATTCCGAACACTAAGCAGGATCATACCAAGGTTCTTCAGGACGATCATCACGTGCAATACGCAATCTATCAACATGAACAAGTGACTTTAACGGTTCACCAGCAAGGATTTGTAATTTATACGTACCAAAATCATGAAAAACTTCTACTACAATAAAAGGACCTTTGAATTTTGGCTCTAAACCATAACGACCTTCATGAGTGAGCATAACCATATCACCAGGTTTGAAAGTGATTTTGTTTATAGCAGCACTTCAACGAATTTTGTCTTTTTCAGCCATAGCCTTGAGTCTAAATTCAGCGGCGGCACGATGCTGGCCTAAATGAGCGAGTTCACGAGAGGTAATATCAGCAACAGTACGAAGATCATTGAAAGTAGCATTATCAATATAAGGATGTAAAACATCACCAGGAAGACGAGGTTCACGACCATACGTTATGTAGTAAAAGTAGACTTTAAGAGAGAATAGTTTTACAGAAAAAAATAGATAAAAAACAAAGAGAATACAATTATAAGTCTTGTCGATTTATTTGTATAAAAATTGATTAAGAGCTAACTAGACGGGCAGGTTTGCCCTGATATTTATAGAAGATTGAAGATATTGTGGCTTGTATTTTTGACAGCTCAGATCCATCGTAGTTTTATATGATGGACCATTCATTTGGTTTATTGAAGATCGTAAGATAGCTGTCCTTGATTTATTATTGTTCCTTAAATTCTCTGATCTCTCATTGGTCGGAGCCTAGAGTTGTGTTGTAATGAAGAAATTTCCATAAAGCCGGGTTACTTATTCCCGATCTTTTATCCGTGAAACATCTTTCCTTTTGTAGACAGTAGCATTTATTATGTGGTTTTAGCACACGTTAAATACAATGGGCTAAATCCAGTAGTGGTGTGCAAACGAATACGACATGCCCAGAGAGCAGCATGTACCAAATCATCCCAACGATGAAGAGCGCCATTTGTATATTTACGTAACATTTGTTTAATTACACCATTAAACCTTTCAGCTTTAGCATTTGTACGGGGATGGTAGGCAGAAGTCAACTTGAACTTTGATCCAATTCGTTTGATGTATTCTTGAACAAGACCACTCGTAAAATTAGCTCCTCTGTCGGTGCAAATTTCAGACATTACACCGAAATTCATGACAATCTCTTCATAGATAAAGTCAGCAACAACTTCTTTGGAAGCAACGGGAACAGCACGAGCTACACACCAATTTGTAGCATAATCGACACCTACCAAAAGCCAGCGATTTCCGTTTAGAGTTGTTGGTAAATCCAAAAAATCAAGATGCCAGCGATCAAAAGCAGTAGGAACTTTCAGCGGGTGTATTCATCATGATGAGCAAGACCTTTACGACTATTTACTTGACAAGAAGGGCATACACTAATCCATTGTTGAATATCTAAACGCATAGATGGCCACCAAAAACGAGGGATCAACATTTTAAGCAAAGTTTTGTAACCAGCATGACCAAAAGAATCATGATATCGAGCAACAGTATCAGCACGTTCAGCAAAAGGTAAAAAAGGAACAAGTTTTATACCAGTCTTTGCAACTACAGCGATCTTTCGATACACTTGATTAGCAGTAACAAGAAGGTATTTTTCTTCTTTATCAAGTATGGCTTTGACTTCCGCCGATTTTACCTTTCTCGCGTTTTTGGGAGGAGTAACATGGGCCAGTCACTTCGAAGTTTGACAGGTAATTGTGTCCAAGTAACATACAAATAATCGGGTTACATTGGTTTAACATCAGCGGTAGATTGACTATTGGATTCGAAATTCATGCGAGACAAAATATCAGGAACGGTATTTTCTTTTCCCGGTTTATATAAAATTTCAGGTGAGTATAATTCTAATTCATTGATCCATCTTACTAATCGATTCGGTGGGTTTTCTTTTGAACAAAAATATTGTAAAGGCAAGTGATCAGAATAAACAGTATAACCTTTAGGACAACCTTCAAGATAACAACGCCAGATACGTAGCGCATGTAAGATACCGAGTAGTTCTTTTTCTTGAGCAGGAAGCTTAGATTCAGAGTCAGCAAATTTCTTGAATTCAAAACAAAGTGGATGCCAGGGCAAGTTTGGATCATCATCAGGTTGGAGTAAAGTAACGCCACAACCACGATCGGAAGCGTCAACTTCAATACGGAAAGGTTTGTCCATACGTACAACTTATAAAACAGGACTGGAAGATAATAACTGTTGTATGCGAGCTGTAAATACACCTTAGCTAAAGTAATACGCTTGTGCTACGACGATTGAAGTATTCTCACTGCTGTCATATTTATCATATGTCAGCTGGTAATTTCAGAGTTCACGTTGTCGTATTTGGGTACGATCCACTTAAAGAATAATTAAGCAAATCGTTTAAATAAATAAACTATGAAATTAAAACAACCTTTGATGTTGCATATCAGCATACGCTTGTATACTGCTATACAACTTCTCCTACTTCGAGTACATACTTCTATATTAAAGATTGCATGATTGGCCTAAATACGATATACGAATGACAGTTGGATACAGAATGCTATACCACTGAGTTACGATATCACCGATCGAGACGAGAATCTTCTAAGATCAAAGCAAGAATTATAAGAAAGAGAAACTTAATGTTGAAAGCCTCAACTCTCCTTCTTTAAATAAGATGCTACGAATGAAGCGTTTTAACCTGCACGTTGTAAATAGGCAATAAACAATTCGTTGGTGTTGTCGAAGGCCTGTCAACCAACATTATCGGTTGGCCCAATTTTAATCTCCCCATCACTAGAATTGAATGATTGTAGCCGGTTATTTCGTTGGCTTCCTGGTAAAACACACGAATTCAATAGCACGTTTAGGTGGCATTTATAATTTGGTTCTTGAATCGCTTCCTCACCTAACTCTAAATTTGAGCATAAGTCATCAATACCATTAGCATTCTTCCCGTCAGGTGACTCACTTTTGTGAGTATTAGCCCACCCATATGGAACGACTCTGATACATTGAGTGCAATGCCATTCTCAGCATTGGTCTCTCTGAATACCCTGAACTTGGTGTGAAATGGCGTGAACAGTGTATTATATTTTTTTCCGTTAAGTTGTTTTTGTACAAGGCTAGATTTACATAATCCTTCCGTCTTTTTATTATCATTATCAAATATTTTCAGTTGAGTAGGGTTCCAGTAGGTTATTACTTAAAAATACTTTCCTATATATACCCATAATTGCAACAAAACAACTTAACTCCACCATACAACCCAGTGATTAAAACTCGAAATATGACAGTTATTTAATAGCATGGCTTGGAAGCTTAACAGATAATTCGGAAATCCACGTATGAAGGTAAGTCTTAATTTTCTTAAATACAATGGAATATTTTCTCTCAAACAAAATTTTTTATGGTCAGACGTGATGGTCTTGCACCTGTGTTAATATTAAGGTTATGTGAATGTAATCACACATTTTGCCAAAAAAATAAACCTGAAAAATGCCATGCGTATTCTTACATAATTCGGAATTAGAAATAATCGAGAGTTATTATGATGTAACTACTACCTTTTTGTCAAAAAGGCGTATTGTTTAGATCTTGCATATTATTTGTAATCCTTGATCCATGTGATTATTCATTAGCATTGTATTGTTTATAGCCAGCTCATTGGCAAAAACTTTATTCATTTCCTATAAAAAATGTTTCCTTTTTCTTTTCTTTTTCTTTGCTAATTCCAAAAAGTCTTTTGCTTCTGTGAAAACTAATCTTTTATTTTACTATTAAAAAACATTATACTTTAAATCCGAGTAAAAAAAATGGGTATCAAAGGTCTACTTCCTGTATTGAAACCAGTAGAGAAGGCTATTGTGATCAACGAATATGCCGGTCAGTGTGTCGCAGTGGATGGCTATGGCTGGCTTTATCGTGGTGCTTATGGCTGTGCATATGATCTTGCTCAAGGATTGCAAACGACTTCGTAAGTGACTCTAGAAATTAGTCTAGTAATAATTAATTAACATGACCAAAAAGCTATGTCAAGTTTTTTATGCATCTCGTTAAAATGTTACTTTATAACAACGTAACACCAATTATTGTATTTGATGGCCAACGCTTACCCATCAAAAAACCCGTGCATGATCTCAGGAAAAAGTAATTTAGATCTCATTCTGATTTACCTTGATCTCTGTTTAACATTGCGTTTTTTTGTCTCTCTTGTTTAGAAACCGAAAGGACAATTATGAAAAAGGCGTTCAATTTCACGAAGCAAAAAAAAATAGTCAAGCCGAAAAATATTTTAGGCATGCTATCAACATCACTCCTGAAATGGTTGATAAAGTTATTGAAGTAATATTACTAATATATACATGAAAAAAAAATATAACTACAGCAACTCATGGTATATACATAGGCGCTTGATGAAATAAATGTTCGACACATTGTCGCACCCTTCGAAGCAGATTCGCAAATGACGTACATGTTTCAGAAAAATCAAGTACAAGCAGTAATTACGGAAGATTCCGATTTATTAGTCTTCGGGTGTTCTAAAGTCTTTTATAAATTGGACCGTTATGGAGAAGGTCGACAAATTGTTTATGACGATATTTTTCAGCAAAGTGAACTCGGCATGGGTACTTTTAATCGCGAAATGTTCAGATACATGTGTATTCTTGCTGGATGCGACTATATTTCATCGATTACCGATGGCAACCTAAAAAATGCTCGTTTTATAGCTAGAAAGAGTCGAACTTTCAATGGGGTAAAAAAAAAAAAAAAGATACATATGTTTATTTGTTTATTTGTTTATAAAATATCGTGAGTTTAGATTACAAGATACTTTGAATATGTAATGCCAAAAGAAGCCGATGCGTATTTAAAAAAGTTTAGTAAAGCCAATGCTGCTTTTTTATATCAATTTGTTTTTGATATCGAGACTCAAACTTATGTTCGTTTAAATCCATTGCCAGAAGATATCAAGGTGGATGATTTGGTAGGACTTGGTGATTCTCCCCAAAACCATGATATTCCTATTCTTCAATCAAATAAGGCTAGATACATTGATCCAAAATTATGTAATCATTTGGAAAAGGACGCAAGTATTTACAGCATATGCTTTTTTTTTTAAAAAAAATCGCTGCTAACTTGTTTTAAATATGCGGTTTTAGCCCTTTGTCAGACTAACGGAGGACGAGTTTGATGAGTTTAAGTTTGACGATGAAACAATAGATCAGTTAGAATCTTGCTTGAAAAAGTATGAAACTTCACCAGAACCAAGAAAACGTGCCAACTGGCAAACCACTGATGTTGTAGCGACAGAACTACATCCAGAAAATTTTATTTTCAACGACACAAAAGCATATCCTATTAAAGTCCCACCGCCTAGTAAAGACCGAGTTAAAAAAGAGCATGTAAGCAACGGCAACGCTCATCCTCCACAAAGACTCACAGACTTCGACGAATGGAAATTAATGCATGGTGAGGCCCTTCGTCCTAAACGAAAAAACGAATCAGAGAATCAACACAATTACAAATTCAGAAAAATTTGAATATTGCTCCACCGATCCTTTTATTAATAAAATCTTTATTCATATAAGCCTGGTTTATTATAAATATATATAACTACTGTAGATGTAAAAAATCCCTCATAAATCAGCACCGAAAAGTACTACCAGTTTTATTTTACTGTATTCTTTCGAAGATACTTATATCTGATTTGTCATAGCATTTCAGCTGATGACTTACAGTCTGGTAGTCACTCTTTAAGAATTTTTATCTGAATACTTACATTACCGCTTATCATTTGAACAAATTATCTCAATTATCCACTACACAAAATGGCGGCTTGATTTGTTCTGATATGTCTTACAGTAATCATTAATTTCTATTTTTTTTAATGATTTCTATTTTTGACGGAATAAAAAAAAAAAAAAGCTTTATGACGAGTTACATTGATGTCTTACTATCTGCTAGAATCCTTTCTATGGTTCTTAATGGGATTCAAGTACACAATCTCTTTTTATTGACGATAGTTCAAAGACAAAAGGAGGCAAAATTGTTTTGAGCAAACAAATAGACAAATAAACAAACAAATCATTAACAGCACACGAAATTCATTTTCTTTTGTAAAAATCAAAATTGTGTAAGAAGTTAAATTTATAAAAGCCAGATTCATTTTATGAATGTCATCTAATTTGGCTGTTTGCCATGGTATTGTATATGTTTAAGACAGCGGGGGAGGGGGATAACTATATCCATAATCAGGTTGAGAGGGGACAGGAGAAAGGGAAGATGAAGAAGATATATCAGATGAAGATACATTAGAAGAAGGGCCATTGGATGGGAGAGCATTTGTCGAAGAAGAGCCAGCACAGTTTGGAGGGGGGTAATAGGGATATGAGGGTGGTTTGGATATACTAGGAGTTTCGATATGTTCAGCTTTTGGAGACACAGGGTTTGACGGAGCTGTAGGTTTGAAGGGAGGGGGAGGATAATACGGGTAATTGGCAATAGCATGTTGTTTCTGGCGCTGAAATCTTGCCACCATTTCATTGATTAATGCTATCGAGTCACTTCCCAACTCATAGTAGTGATCGGTCTTTTTCGGGTTAAACATACTAGTGTGAGCATTAATTTCGTTGTCTGCAGAGGAGTGAACTGGAACAAACAGGTAGGAAATATCACTTGGAGGCAACTTTATAAAAGTTTTGGGTCGATGATCACTTCCCAATGCACTCAGCTATAAGTATTTCATATAAAAACAGTTAGTTTATCTTTTTATATCATTTCTTTGCTTGTCATTGTAATTTACCTGTACATAAAAGCATTTGAAGAAAATATCTGGCACTTGAAGCAGTTTTTTCACTCTATTTATGGTCATGCGTTAAATTTTTTTTTTTTTGGATTTCGAGTTTTTTTATGTAAGTTACCTCTGATCACAGCCATTCATGTCTGTCAAATCGCTAATGAAGGTCAATTGGTCGAACGCCTCAGAGATAGTAGCCGAAATCTGATCTCTTGCCATATAAGCAGCAGCCCCAATAGCAGCAGCCCCCAAGACACCAGCAAACAGACCCCATTTCTTTACACTATTGCTGGCACTACTACTACTACTTGTGCCCGCAGTAATCGCTTTTGTAGTCACCGTCGCTGCTGTCACAGCAGCAGCCGAGTTACCTGTATTCCAATATCGTCCAACTTCTTTATTCATCTGGTCGACACTTGACCAAGCTTTATCCGCAACAAAATTTTGATTGATGGAATAAAACGGCGTATCATAAGCAATCATGCCAATAATTTTGGCGCCAAGCAATTCATTGTTTTTATTGTCGTGAAAGCGTAAAATCGTTTCTGCGGCTAGAAAAAACAATTACTTTAAGTGGAATGGACATGAGATTTTGAAAAAAAAGGAACTTACAGACAATGCCACCCATGGAATGACCTAATAGTACAACCATGATTTTCCCGGTACTATTGAACCGTTCAAGCTCCTGCTGTAAAGTGGCAACTTCATTGCACAACCAGGTCGAAAAATTATCTACTGCAACTCGAAGATCTCTACATGAATACATGTCAGACTGTGGGATGGGAGGAAGAGATTTGTTATATTTGGCTGAACTTTACCCAGCCGTTTTATAAGATGGATAAACAATAGCATTCACATCGGCTTTGACTGTGTTTGTAAGAATGGTCTGAAGTCTATTCGGAAAGTCCTGGGTTTACTGTTAATATACTGTCTTTCAACAAAGCTGCAAGTATTTACCTTGAAGCTGGTATCTGAACCTCGAAAACCATGAACAAAAACAAGCAATAACTTGTCTAAATTATCTCGTTCATTACTCATTTTGTCAAATGTTGAATGAAAAAATAAAATTTAAAGTTTTCCATAATAACTCAAATTAGGCACCTGTTCCCGGTAGACTAGCCAAATCCGAACGATTGGGTAGAATCAATATCAATGAATATGCGTCTTTTGGACAAAAGATTCATTTACAGAAGGGGGAGGACCATATCAGATCGGGGAATTCTATTTCAGACACATCATTGTACTCATTGAACACCTGAACAACCACCATTGTATTTGGGTAAGAGAATGTGAGAATCCCATTACATAGAATTAAATCTTTCGATAAAAAAAAAAAAAAAAAAAAAAAAAAAAACAAAAACTGGGGTTAGAAGAAAGAGAGAGAGAGAGAGATATGTTGTATAAATCAATAAAATAGCTCCAGGGCGTAATTGGTATATCTGCTTAACTAATTATTTGTCTCTGATGAAACCGATTGCTATGCTATCATTACAAAAACCTGTTCTGTTGCTTTACACAAAAGCAAAAATAGTACATTGGTTCGAGCTTATATGTTTAAGGCCAGAAATGTATAAATTACAAAAAAGCGCACGGTAGCCTAATTATTTGATAAATGGGATCTAGGTACAGAATCAACTGATTTAAATCAAAAGAAAACGAATATGACATAAGTCTTAAACGTACATATTTGCCTAATGCCCATACACGTAAAGCTGAAAAATAAGACGTGGCTGATATACCTCTTATTTAGATTTGACCCTCTGTCTATACTGTGTAACCTGTAACAAAATAGCAAACATCGTGTTTTAACAAACTAATATATTCAGTGAGAAGAAAATTCAAGGTTTTGTGGGAAAATAATAATAGGTTCTCAAAAGAGCCAAAAAAAACTTATGCATAATAGTATCGCTTTTATCAAAAAACACGTGATGTAAATCCCTACTATAAAAATTAATGGCGTACAAAGGGGTGGAGTTTTTTTTTTCTTTTCTTTAGCTTTTCCTTTCTTTCTTATTCTAGAGAATGTCTTCTACAGAGAATTTTCGTTACCGTGTCTCAGCTGATATTGATTTAAATAATGATCAGTTAGGTACATTAAAGGCTATTGTGGAAACCTTTATTGCCCCACTTAGCAAAGAGCAAGAAGATGCACTTGTGATTAAATTACAAGCTACACATACAGAAGAACAAGTCCGTCAATTTTGTCAATTATCCGCCTCCAGCTTGGAGTCAATCCAAACCACGCGGGGTTTTATTAACCGCACTGTTTTACCTGAAAAGCGCAAAGAACTTTTGATGATCTTGTCTGTTTTATCTACTCGTGCAGGCACATTTGCCCTGACAGGTCATTTCGACGAATTTAAGAATTTATCAATTGCCGATCGTGAAAAGGTTATTTTAAATTGGAAAAATTCGTTTTTACCCCAGTTAAGATTGCTCTACAAGACTTTTCATTCGTTGGCCTGTCATCCTATTTATGCTGCCCATTCGACACAATTGAGCGCCGCTATGCATTTCAACCCAAAATTAGATGCTCAGTATGAAAATATACCGGAACGTTTGCCTATGCTCTCACCCAATGAAATTGGAGAAGATGCTACTTTTGATGTAGTCATCATCGGTAGCGGTGCTGGAGGAGGTATACATATATCATTCATTTTCGAAAAAAAAGTGTGGGGGAAATATAAATAGTAGTAACACATAAAATTTTAGGTGTTGTTGCAAGTAAGGTAGCTCAAGCAGGTAAATCGGTGTTGGTGATCGAAAAAGGTGATTATCATCATGAAGACGAGTTCCTTATGGATGAATCTAAAGCCTTGACAAATCTATATGAACACGGTGGCATTGCACCAAGTTATGAAGGTTCTGTTTCTATTTTTGCTGGTAGTGTATTTGGTGGTGGTACCACAATCAATTGGTGTGCATCTCTTAAACTTCAGCACTTTGTTCGCGAGGAATGGGCCAAAGAAGGCTTGTCCCACTTTGTGTCTCCCAAAGTAAGTCTAGTGATCTCCCCCGCCCACGAGCTATTTTTATTCATTCATTCTAACTATTCACAGTTTTCTCAAGACCTTGATCGTGTCTTTGAACGTATTGGTGCTTCCACAGAAGGTATTGTTCATAACAACTCAAATCAAGTCTTAATTGATGGTTGCAAGTAAGTTTTATTTTTTATACTTTTCCTTAAATTGTATGACTTTTCTTTCTAATATTACAACAATTTTTTTATTAGGGTTCTTGGTTATCCCGTAGCAGATATTCCTCAAAACGTTGGAAATAATGCTCATGATTGTGGCTTTTGCTTTGCCGGTTGTAAAGCCGGTCTCAAGAACGGATCGATGAATACTTGGCTTCGTGATGCCTACGAACATAATGCGAAATTTATGGACAAGACCAAAGTAAACCGTGTACTCATCAAGGGAGGTAAAGTGACAGGTGTTGAGTGTATTGCCAATGACAAGAAGTTTAACATCAAGGCCAGTCAGGTGGTTGTTGCTGCTGGATCATTGCAATCCCCTGGAGTTCTTTTAAGAAGTGGTTTAAAGAACAAGAATATCGGTCGTCATTTAAAAATCCATCCTTGTACGATTACGTTTGGTTACTTTGATCGTCCTATTCGTACATTTGAAGGGTCTATCATGACCGCCGTGAGTACTGTCTCTGAAAGTATCAAGAATGATGGTTATGGTGCTAAGTTGGAAGTGCCTTGTCTCCCCCCTGGTAGTTATTGCTCTGTTATTCCTTGGCGTGGAGCTGCGCATCATAAAGACTTGATGATGCGTTATGATCGTTGTTCACCTATCTTGGTTTTGAGTCGTGATAAGGACTCCACTGGTGTTGTTCGTTATGATGAAAATGATAATTGTGTGGTAGATTATGCTCTTTCAAACCGTGATCGTGAATCCTTGATGGATGGTATTGAACGTTCTCTTAATATCTTGGCTGCTGCTGGTGCACGTGAAATTCATACAGGCCAATTTGGTGTTGAACCTTTCAATTTTAAGGAGGATGAGCCATCTAGAGCAGATAACCCCAGATTTATCCAATGGAAAGCAAGCGTGATCAAGTACGGATTCCCACACGAAGGAGCTGGTGTGTTTTGTGCACATCAAATGGGAAGTAATCGTATGGGTATTTCACCCAAGGTCTCTGTGACTAAGCCTACCGGTGAGACTTGGGAAGTAAAAGATTTATTTGTTGCTGATGCATCCGTATTTCCAACAGCTTCTGGAGTGAATCCAATGGTGACCGTGGAAGCCATTGCTTTACATGTTGCAGATTCTATTTTAAAGAATGAAGCAAAGCTTTAAAATGTTTTTTATTACGAATAAAATAAAAATAAATAATAAAAAAAAAAAAAATAAAAGAAGGGGAAATAATGATATGTACTTTGACAGGTCCTTTCACTTTTTTTTTTCTTTTAATATCTTGTCTTTTTAGGATCAACATTTTCATCTTGATGATCTCCTGTATCTAGTCGTTGTCTTTTGTCATTTGCAGGGGGAGGAATATAGGCGCTTCTATGACGACCAAGCTTTGGAGGGATCTTCCAAAAGTATTGTTTATCTTTCAAAGTACATTTACGAGCACTACGACCCACCTGAGTGTAAGTAGAACGACGCCATTCAACAGGATCCAATTCGCTGTTATAATAGTATAAGTTTTCGGTGGGTGATCCATCAGCCGTCTTTCCTTTACGCTGGATTTCTCCAAAGAAAGGTCTTTCTTTCAACACGGTGCGAATACGTTCAATCCATAAAGCACGAGGTTGTTTAGCATATGTTGGATTTCCTTTTAATATACGCGAGCAAATGTCGCTAATTGGCATGGATGAAGTACGAGAGAATACTAGGGTCCAAAATTAAAAATAAATAAATAAATAAAACAAAATTTGTTAGTGATGAAATTATTTACCAAGTGCATCAATAATAACTTCGGCATAATCGTTCGTATCTTCATCACAGGTCTCTTTCACTTCTTCTTCTTCGATTACAGGTGGGTCAGGAGATAGTTCCTTTTCTTCACTCGATAATGGGTCCTCTGGTACCAATTCAGCTGGATATTCCTCCTCCTCTTCTTCTTCTTGAACTACCTCTTCGGCTTCAGGAGATAATTCTCTGAAAATATCCTTCTTGTTGACAATGATATCGGGTTTGATATTATCAAAATTTATAGGAGAAGGAGGCACTTTAAAGTAAAAGTGATCACCCAAAATATCAATAAAGCTATCGTTCTCTAGTGCTGCTACTTGATGTTGAGCATATTGAATTTGATCTACGCAAGCACCATTGAGGCCAACCACGAGTAATTCAAACTGCTCATTTTCTTTGGAATAGGTAATGGAAACATGAATACGACTGATTTGTCGGTTACGTCTACCAATCTTGACGGTGGAAGCGCCACCTCTACCCAAAGTGACTGATTTATCAAAAGAACCTACAATCACTAAATGTTGACGACGTTGATGTACTGCTTGTTGATTCAATAAAAGAGATGAACCATACAGATTGGAGGTGGCTTCAAGATCATCTGAATTAGTAAACTCTTTATCGTGATAATCAGGACTATCTGGTGCTTGTCCACAAGTCCAATTTTCGTTTGTTAATGCTGTCGTCATGACTACAAAAAAAAAAAAAAAAAAAAAGAGAAATAGAAATAAAAAATTAAATGAAAATAGGGAAAGGGCAAAACAACAAATTAACATGCTTGTCAAACTTTTTTTTTTATTTTTCCTCTTTCATTATTTTACATTGTGTGTTCAATAGGTTCCACTGTATATTTTTTTCTGACTGACTGATATTAAATGAAGACTACAAAAAAAGTTTTTTGTGTGTGTATTTTTTTTCTACACACGTTAATAATAAAAAAAAAACTCAAGCGCGTCATATCAAACTGGGTTATTTTTTTTTTCACTGTCAGTTTAAAATTATAAACATGGAAAGTAGTTGACACTACTTTTATTTCTAGAGTCATTTAACATGCGCATTATATCGATACAATTAAGGTATTATGACAGTAATATTAGCTCACTGCAAGCATATAGTCGGTCATCTTCTTGTACATATAATATTGAATCATGATTGATGGTGCTCATATAAAAAAACAACATAAGGAAGGTTACGTTTTCACGTGGTGTTCATACACAATAAACATAAAAACTGTAAATTAATTAAGTGGTTCATTGTAACAAGAGTGTAACGCGAGATTGGGTGATAATAAACCACAATTTAGTCTTTTTATCATAAATATCACCATTTTTTTTTCTTCTTGACGCGCTTGCCATGTTAAAATTCATCGCGTCAGACGATCTTCTACAATAAAGCATTCATTGGCATTCCCAAGTAGCTATGTAATTGTCCATTGTGTGTGATAACATTCAACCTTTATGGTCAGTTATCCATAACATTTTAATAAATGTCGACTGTATAAATAGAACAGTCAATTCAGGCATAGGTTTAATCTTATAAGGAATTTCATAGTCATATGCAACACTGTTTACTTATGCAAACAATTTTTGCTGTCCGTACAATGATTGATGCTGATGTGATTTTGACATTAATATTGTTATTGTCCCTTTGAATAAGGTTTCAGTTTTCCCCAGATTTTCTATACTCCTCCCCCCACCCAATGTTTAGTCATCGCTTAATTTTCCCGCCCTAATTTTTCTTTTCTTTCTTTGTTCGCCATGTCTGCACAATTGCCTGAATTCACAAAAGAACAATATCCAGCTGATCTGGAATTGAAGTAAACCCCATTTGTCATTTGTCATGTCAAACCACAAACTAACCGGTATAATTTTTTACTTGAACAAAAAAAGGCTATTACAAATAGTCCATCGACACGGTAAGTAAACTTACACGTTATAAGCAAGAACTTGCATACTAAATATTTTTACATATCAGGTGAGCGCTCACCTGTGAGAAGAAGACTTAAGGGTATTATCCCTCCTGTCTGGAACTTATGTGCAGCCAACTCTGCCATGTTTGCTACTATTGCTCAGTTTGAACAGAAAAATGAGATTGTATCTCGCTTAGATGTAGCGCCCGTTGAACGCTTGGTCGAGACAAAAGAAACAGAAAGTCGTTCAGTGCCTATCGAATCAGGTGGATGGTAAAAATAACAAGTATAATAAAAGAAGTAAAGAAAAATAACCTATCCCGATAGCTATTATGGTCAATTGACGAATTTAGGAAGATATAGAATGACAACTTTGGGCCAACGTATCCGACACCAGTACATTGAAAAGTAAAAAAGAAAAAGTTGATATATAGTATGTCGATGCACGATGCTTATTTAGTTATGATAGGTTAAACTTTTTACCTGATGTGTATGATGAGAAAAGCATTTATGTGAGAAGCAGTGATTATATTCGTACGCAGGAATCTGTACAGCAGTTGGTAGCAGGAGGCCTATACCCACAGGATAAGCGACCAAGCGACTTTTTGTTAAAGCTTCGAATCCGGTAGGCCAAAAAAAAAAAAAAAAAAAAGATTAAACTGTGTGTAACTAAGTGATCACTGAAACTGGATTAGAGATCCAAGGGATGATTTAATGTTTCCTAATCCCAACTGTTATCGACTTCGTAAATTGACCAAAGAGTTTAACAAGACTGTGTCGGACATGATGCAAGATAAATTCAAGTCACTTTCCAAGAAATTGGAAAAATATGTTTCTGGTGTTTCCTTGGATAGTCATCCCTCAGCAAATGGAATTTTAGGTAGGTCAAACATGCTCCATTAGGAAATGAAGCCGAACTTACCAAAAAAAAAAAAAAAAATAATAATAATAATCACACATCTATCCCTTCAGACACGCTTGTTGCAGCCAAGGTCCATGGATTCAAGATACCTGCCGATATTACGGATGAGGTGTTTGAGGATTTAGAAGAGATTGTGGTAAAGGAGTGGTTTTATGGCTCTATGAAATCACAGGAAGTACGCCGATTAGGACTGGGTAGATTGATGGGTGTAATAAGAGATCGTATGACTCTTCAAGAACAGGGAAAGAACGATCAGCTAAAGTTGGCGATTTATTCTGGTCATGATACGTTAGTGGTGCACCCTTTATTTATATATTTTTAAACTGAGTCTTTAACTTTCTTTTTTAGTACTGTGGGTCCACTTTTAATCATATTAAACGCATTTGATGATAGGTATATCCAATATATAAACAAAAAAGAATACGTACTAACAAGCTATCATGTGTACATATATAGATGGCCTCCTTTTGGTAGTGCAGTTTTATTCGAACTATTCAAACAAAAGAAAAGCCAACAGCATTTTGTCAGAGTTCGTTATAATGAAAAGACATTAGAGTTACCCGGATGTTCCCAAAAGGGTCAACACAAGGATGGCGACAAGAGTCTTTGCACGCTTGAAGCATTCAACAAAATTGTCAAAGACCAAGTACCGCTTGATTGGGAAAAAGAATGCACAATTTAAAAATTAGGAAGTACAAATTAAAACGATTGGTTTTAAAATTAGATTAGGTGTAACACTTTTTTGCGGGGGCAAATTACAAGTGTTTATAAAATGTGTGTGTGTGTGTGTGTGTGTGTGTGTGTGTGGTGGTGCGCTCGCGCCGTTTATAAAACTTTTTTATTTTCTCTCTCTCTCTCTCTCTCTCTCTCTCTTTCCTTTCCTTCTTATTTACATATATACATAAAAACCCCCCACAGTATGAACTATTCAAATAATATATATTCAGGCAGCCATCATAATAATGATTGGAACTTTATGAATTATTCACAGAACATGAACGAGCCTTTACAGGAACCCGTTGCGTTTGAAGGTAATAAACATATTACAATAAAAAAAGTGGTCATCTTGTTAAAAAGTCGACATGGCGATTAACGTTCATTTCTTTTTACTAGATTTTCAGTTTAGTCTAGGACTTGACCCAGAGTTTGCTATGCCTATTCCACTTGATATGCCACCACCACCACCACCCATGACAGAAAATGAGATATTTTCTGTACAAGATATACCCACACCAATGAATAACGCTGTATTAGATGAACATGATCATAAGGCTTTTAGTCAATTTTTAGATCAATTTTTTGTTGACCCTACGATGCAAATTGATTCACAATTAAACATGTATGAACCACCACCCATGTCACTTAATTATCAAGAATATCATCGTCAAACACATATACTTCAATCTTTGGATGAGCAAAAGAGATATTTCAACCAAAAGGATGAAAAGCCTGGGGTGGTTTACCTTCAGCAAAGCAATAGTATCACAGCACCTTATATAAAACCAGTTTTACGTGAGTCCTCTTCCACCACAACCAGCCCAATAAAGGAAGAGGAATACAGCAATAATGGCACAAGTAGCAGCCCTACCTCTGGTGGTGCCATCAGAAGAGGAAAGCCTCATAAAGAATTATTGACTGAAGAAGAAAAGAGAAGTAATCATATTGCATCAGAGCAAAAGAGACGTAGCATGATTCGATCAGGATTCAAGGATCTGACTGAGATTGTACCTACTCTCAAGAACATTAATAATTCAAAGAGTACCGTATTATTCAAAGCGGTAGATTATGTTAAATATCTTGAAAAGAGAAACAGAAACCTGAGAGAAAAGATCAAAAATCTGGAAGTTCGTGTTGAAGTTGAAGGTCGTATGGGTGTTTTAGGTCGATATAATGGTAACTACCCACAAAAGACAACTGATTCAGTAGCACCTGCTTCTGCGGCTTTACTTCAGCACAAAACTCAGCAAAGACAATTGATGGAATTACAAGAAAAGTTACAACTACATCAAAAGATGATTGCTCAACAGCAAAGAAGATGGAATGATAAAGAAGTAGTAGATAATAAGCCTACTGTGTCTGCTTAAATCCCTTTCCACCCCCCCTCCACACTTTTTAATACCCTTATTATATTCAATAATATTACCTTTTATATATATTTATTTGTATCACCCGTCTCTTTCTCATGTAAAATAAACCTCTTTTTTTTTTATTTCGCTTTTTCACATGCAAGCCTTTTTAATTTGTCACTGGTTCACGTGAATATTTCTTTAAGAGTGCTTTACGTCTATCTTCCCAGTTCTTATTAGTGCTCGTGTCCCCTTCATTATGACTCGTCTCGTCTAATACTGCCATCTTTTTTTTGTTGGTCTCTTCATTTTGCTGGGGTGGGGGTCGATTCCATTGGTAGTACGTAGACGATCTTTTTAAATAACGGGACCCTAACAACGGTCTATCCTCGCCTGTATCGTCTTCTTCTGTATCGCTATCACCACAACATTTGCAACATAGACAACAGCACAATATTCCCATGCCAATCAGAACACCAATAACCACTATACTTGTCAGCACAATCATGATAATACCCAGCGGTAAAGTAGACACTGTGATGATTTAGCCATATATAACACATTTATATTTTCTTTTTTCACTCACTATGACATTGGTGGTAATAATAATCGCCTAAACCGCATGTAGATTTATCTAATGCCCCAAACCATCCACCGCTTACACAGCTCCCAGACCCTCCGCAAAATCCACAACCTTCTTGTGCTATACAAGACCCACAAGTCTGAAACTGACTGCAATCAACTGAAAACAAAAAATTAATTTCCAAAGAGCGTTAGCTATCTTTTCTCTCTCCTTTCCATACCATCGAGACCGGGATTCTGTTGTAAAATTGTATTTGCAATTGCTCGTTTCCACATTATTAAAAAAAAAAAAAACAAAGAACCGAGAAAAAAAGTTATTGTAGGAAAAAACACACAAATTGAATTTTAAACTAGTCACAGCGCATGAAAAAAGTCGACCCATTTGTTGGATATCTATTTATTAAAAGAAAATTGTCCTTTCTTACTTTTTAATGATGGGAACCCGCACGAGTGTATTTTGATTTGTACACCCTTTTGTCACTTGAGAAGAGCTTAAAGTAACAGACTCTTTCTAACACTAATTTTTCATTTGCGCATGCATGTAAACATATTTGAAATTCCGAGTTTGCTACATTCAACACAAAACACTAACAATAAAGATGACCCGTTTGACGTGATAATTTGTATCTGCCCTGATAATATAAAGGTACTGAAACTGATAGAAAACAAAAGGAAAATTAAGCAGGTGTTTCTTTTACCCTTTAAGCTAGATATGAATAGGTCATGCCATATCAGATATGACATTCAAGCCAATTGTTATGTGTTCCTTGAAAAAAAGGGGGAGCAAAAAGGCAGTCAAAAACTCCGCGCACACTCTTCTATGATACAAACCCTGTATGAATTTTTTTTTTTTTTTTAGCTGAACTCCATTGTCAATAATATAGAATGTTTTCACGCACCAGTGCCCGTTGTTTTACACAAGTTCGCAGTTACGCCACTAAAAAGAAGCTCGTTCGTCACAACCCCGATGCTGTTGAACTTTCACAGGCTGTTCAAATTTTAAAAGCATTTGAGGTAGGTAACCCCAGTCATCAAATCGAAGCCCATGTGCAATGTAAAATCGAAAAGTCCACTCCCTTGATTCGTGGATCTATTGTTTTGCCCAAAAATATCAAGCAAGAAGCTACTATTTTAGTGTTTGCCACCGGTAAAAAGGCCGATGAAGCCAGAGCTGCTGGTGCCCACTTTGTGGGTGGTGAGGAATTGATTGAGCAAGTTCAAAATGGTGAATTAAAGTTTGACAAGTGTATTGCCACACCTCAAATGTTTCCCAAGGTTACCAAAATTGCTCGTATTTTGGGTCCCAAGGGCTTAATGCCTACCGTCAAGAAGGGTAAAATTTATGCGTGATTAAAAAAAAAGAGAGAATGAGATATTCATATTTGATCGTAGGCACTGTTACTGACGATATTACCAACACTGTCACTACATCCAAGGGAGCATTTGATTTTAAGGGTGATAAATTTGGTGTTTTGCATACAGGTACATACAACAACAGAGAGAGAAAAGAAAGGATTAAAAAGCATTAATTGCCCAATTTCTTTTTTTTTGGTAGGTATCGGTAAAGTCAATTTTGAAGAAAAGGATATCGAGGCCAATCTCAAGGCAATTCTCGAAGAATTAAAGGTGTTTGGAAAGACCAACAACTTGAAAGGTATATAAAGTGTGTATATCTGCTCTAATTACCATAACTAACATCTCTACTTTCTACTACAGCTTTTATTCAAAACGTAGTTATCTCATCAACCCGTGGACCTGGTATTGTTATTGCTGGTGGTTCTTCTCTTTAGATTGTGTAAAAAAAAAAAATTAATAAAATCTCACCCAATGTACAAAAACCCGGATGCTGAAGTTTAAAATGTGACTCTTGTAAAACTGCCAGGGTAACTTTTTTTTTAGAAGATAATTTTGCTTTCTTCTTTGGAATTATTCTTTATAACTTGCCATGGCCTCATTAGCGTTAAGAAGACTTTGCAGACCTTTAGCTGCACGCAGTTTTAGCACCAGTGCCGTCAAGGCCAGTTCTTCTCATGGCTTATTGAGAATGAAAGAATATTACGATCATACCCTGTCTGAAGATTTAATGGTATTAGGTTATGATCACACTCGTGTTGCACCCCCTACTTCAAGATATCCCGACCTTGAAGCACAAATTAAAAACGCCTTAGAGACAGAACAACAACAACAACAACAAAAAACTGTACAATCTTCCACATATAACCCTGACGCTGTTCGTACTCGTAAAGGTGGTAAACCTGTCAAACCCATTCAACCCCTTAAGAGCGCTAAAGTGATCCCCAGTCTCGATAAAATCACACTTCATGCCATGATTAAGGATTCTATCAACAGCAAGAGTAATTTATTATCTGCCTTTATGGCATTCCAAAGTATCACAGGTATCCGACCTGATGTTGTATATGCAAGAAACTCTGTTGCTAATTGGAAATTACGGTAAATTATACATGTGTGTGTGCGTGAAAGAAAAAAAAGAAAAAGAATTACGATGAACTGACGTTCTCTTTTTTATGTAGTGAGGGTATGCCCGTAGGTGTAAAGGTGACTCTTCGTGGCGAAGAAATGTATCAATTCATGGATAAATTAGTCGAAATTGTTCTTCCTCGTCTTAAAGAATGGCCTGGCCTTTCAATGACAGCTGGTGATGGTAACGGTAATATCGCACTTGGTTTCCCTCCTTCTGCTCTTGCTCTTTTCCCTGAAATTGAAGGCTCATTTGATGTCTACCCCAAAATGACTGGTTTCGATGTCATCTTCAACACCACTGCTTATACAAACACAGATGGTCGTTTATTACTTTCCGCTTTCTCTGTACCATTCACCACTTCTAAGAAATAATCTCCTGCACTTTTTTTTAAAAGATCAAATAAAAAAAAAAATATTAAAAATTTAGACAAAAACAAGAGAGGATGGTTTTCCCAGATTAATTGGAATGTTAAAACGACAGAGGACAGATACTTGTGATATTGTTAGTAAAAGGTTGAAGTCAGCATGCACAACTTGTATAGTATATTAAGTGTGATAGAATAGAAGAGGATCATAGTCTACACAAAAGAGTATCAATTTATACAAATAAAAAGTAATCTTGAACAACTGCAAAATTCATTCAGTCATTTAAAATATACGTTTGTATATATGAAGTGCTGTTTGATATGTATAAATGAGATACTAGAATCTTAAGTCCTTATTATCACTAGTTAGGAGAGTTTATCATTATATCAAAATTATTACTTCAATTATTTTCTGTGTAGATCGGTCCAATGTTTTTAGAAAAGTAAGACTTATTGGATTTAGATCATGAATTATTGACGAAATGTAATAAAACTTATGATATAATACTATGTAAGACTATATCTATACGTTTAGTTTATTCATTCATGCAATGGTTACGGTGATTGGATTACTTGAATAATTGGAATAGATGCTAGAAGATACAGCCAACCCGAGTCAAATATATGATGTGATCTCTAAGATAAAAAAATATGAAAGTTGGTGTATCTGTAGATGATAGGGATTGCACTCTCGATAGTCTTTATTAAAATATACGAAGTATTTTATGACTCAAGACATATTATATAGGCATCAAATACAACAAGTCGTTCATTTATTCCAGATAATATATTCCAAAAATATGATCGCTCGTTGAGGACTGGATTCTCAAATGTCCCATGACGGTATTAGAAATTTAATTGAAAATACGCCTATTGTCTATTTGGCAATTTTTATTTCAGGGATTTATATTCATCCAGCCCTAAATATGTATACAAAGAACTCAACTTATTTGTATAACAATAAGACTTTAGTTTATTTCCACAATACAATAATTCTACTTCGTTAAATTTGTTCTTTTCATGTGGTGATGTAACAAGGCCATAGGTACATTTGAGCTGACAAAAATTCATTCATTTGTGATATAAAGATAAATGCCAAATGTGATAATTATTACAAATAAGACTTTACATCACAAGACTACTCTAATACACCCGAGGAACTCTTGAGATTACGTTTAAAGCAAACAGAGCTTAGGACACTTATATCTTACAGTACAAATCTAAAATAGTGACTATGCACCGGTTTTATTGACATATTTGGTCAATCAATGATAAGTCCAAGATTACACAAGAGGTAGAATACAGCATGTGGAAAAACTCGGTTTAGCACAGTACAAAAAATAAAGATAAAAAACAGGTAAATAAGATTAATAGTGCTTAAAGGCTTTCATTCTTATTAATAATTTTTTAAAACTGAATCCCTTTCTACATTATGGTAGAAGGTAGGGTTTTTATAGTTAATGGGATCTGTGGTTAAAACGGTATCTAATTATTAGTGGAGGTACCATTGGGTGGTATAGTACTTGTCCGATGGTCCCTTAAATTTAAGCAGACATTGCCTTTATAATTGGATTGATTCGTAAACAATGATCTGTATTTATTGTTCTGTCAGAATTGAGAGGACGATGATTCTAGAAAATCTTAAGTCAAATTTAAGTTCTAAAGCAATTGCTCAGAATTTATCATTGATGAGTTCTTTTCATTTATGATATTGTATTTGGTATTTGAGTCGATCATGTGGGATCGACGATTATTCATTTTATTTTATTATATTATAAGTGCAATTTTAGCACTCAGCAGATAGTCTTTTGTATATTTTATTTATTAGAAAAACAACTTCTGAAATTGAAGGTAGCCACTTCAAATTCAAGGCTGTAAAAGGACGGATAATAAAATTTTCTCTTAACTTCATAATTCTTTTTGCTCTTTAATTTCTAACTCTAATGGCACAAATTTAAAATCGGATGTAAATCAAGAAACGCGTTTAAAAAATTCAGACTTCTTACAAAAACGATACAAAAATTTAAGCTAAACCTGGTTAAGCCGAGCACTTGTACTGGTTGTACTTAGTAGAAACCATCAATAAGTTTTCTTGGTTACAGGATCCTACTCGTTTACACTTTACTCTATGTATTACATTATACGCCGTATTTTATAATACCTTTTGAGACCTCTCAATTTTATTCTTATAATTAGTATTTTAAGTCAAGTCGCATTTTAATAAATAACATTTAATAATCATAACTTTCTGCAATTGTCATCACTTTCACGTGCATTTTGTGTAATAAAAAACGCGATCAAGCTCGATCTTTCGTCTGTAAAACCGAGCCGAGCTTGTGGTATCTGACAAAAATAATACACTTTGTGATAATTTGAGTACAAAAGGGTAAAAATATAATATAAAAATAAACAGAAGTAAAGAAATGAGACTCTTTAATCCTTTATTATAAGTTGGAGAGTTTGTCATGATAAAAAAATATGTCCTTTTATATTAAATTAATACTTTAATTAATTTCTACGTAGATCGAATTAACATTTCCAGAGACTGGGAATTGATGGATTTGAGATATAAATCAGTAACGGCTAATAAAATATACTTTATGTAAGCCTATGTTCGTATGTCCGGAATCTTTAGCAGAGAAATCATTTATCCATATAGCAATTGTGATAATATCTGTGGTATTTGACAAAATATTACATAGAAAAGTAATGAGATAAAAGTATATTTTTATTAGGGGTAAAAATAGACTAAAAAAACTCTGCTGCTATGAAATAATTGATCCTTTTTATATTGCACAACTCTCCTGAGTTTTAATGATGAGTCAACCTTTCTGGTTTTGGAGGGTGGGGAAAAATGTTGTAATTTCGCGGGATTTAGTTTAACCGAAGTTTATAGGAAAAACGGTCACTCAGGCATGTACCTCACAGGTGCATGAATTTAATGCAAAGTGAATTTATCTAAATGTTTATTGATTATATTATATATTTTAAAAGAAAAGAAAGAAAGAAAGAAAGAAAATGTCTATAAGTTTTTTTTTTGTAGCAGGCATAAACTGTTCCACGGCATCTTTTAATGATTTGCCGGGCTTTGTTCATGTCTGATGTGATTATTTTGATTTCTTTATCGAGATTGTCAATGCGAACGAAAAAATTAATACCATCGATAATTTTGTAACAGACTGTAAAGAAATGCTCTCCTGTTGAAGAGGTAGAGTAAACTCTTCCGTGTAATTGGTATTGAGAGTTTTTGGTTAATGATATATTTTCTGGAAAATATATGTTGGAGTGGTTAATGTTGGCGTTTTCGCTGTTGCTTGAAAATGATTCATGGCGTCTCACAAAATTGGTGGGATCGGTGATGAAAAGAAAAGGAGGTGTATGAGAGTCAATTATCTCGTTTGTTGCGGTTACCATTCCTTTACAATCAGTTTCGTATGTGCAGGGGAATTTCTTCTCCCTGACAACTAAATGATGTAAAAGAACGGAACAAAATTCTTTTTCTTGCTCCTCCTCCGAGCTACACTCTTGCGTATCTAATAAAAAGTCTCGCATCAAGTCATCAATGTCCAGAAGATCTACAAAACGTGTATCACTGATGTAATTATGTTCGTGATTTTCAGAGCAAAGATGAATGCGGCTCACGTTGTCTTTAAACCCTCCGATTCGTGCTTTAAACTCAACAGACATGTTGTTAAAAAATAACATCAACAGCTCTATAGCACAGGCAGGTTCACCGTCTGTGAATTGGTGTGGGCTGTTATCATCATCGATGGAACTGGGTATTCCCCAAACAAACCCCCTGATCATTGCTGATGCTTCCCTGACAACAAGCTTTTTTTGATCCATGGTTTCAACAGTGGAAGTATACTTTTTGTACGAATCAATTAAAATTGAATTGTACCTGTTGTATTTCAAACCTTCCAAGGAGACAAAAGGCAGGACAGCATTCCACAACAGCTCGAAAGTCGCATCAATGAAGCAAGAATTTTTTCTATTTGCTGCGATCTGAGAAATTCGAGAGATAAAGCTACGAATTAAGAATAAAAATAAAGAAATTTGACGAAGTAAAATTATCAAACTGCAAAAATAAACTAAAGTCTTTATTATACAATAAATTGGGTTCTTTATATACATATTCAGGACTGGCTGAATATCAATCATTAAAGCGAAACCTGTCAAATATACAATAGGCGTATTGTCAATTAAAGATCGAGCATCTCATGGTACCTTCGAGAATCTTGTTATTGACGAGCGATCATATCATTGGATTGTATTATCTGGAATAAATGTATGCACCAAGGCTATAATGTTTCGCCTGATTCGTCCATTTGGACGAATTTTTAGTAAGTGTTTACCCATTTACTCAAAAAAAAAAAAACGAATTGGGTAAATTTACCCATTTACTCGTTTGGACGAATTTTTTAGTAAGTGTTTACCCATTTACCCAAAAAAACGAATTGGGTAAATTTACCCATTTACTCGTTTAGACGAATTTATAGTAAGCGTTAACCCATTTACCCAAAAAAAAAAAAAAAAAAAAAAAAAAAAAACCGGATTAAATGCATAATTAAGGGGGTGTATATTTTAAAATCAGCTCTCCCTTTCAGCCTTCAGCGAAATAAAAAAACTTTCGTTTATACATATTGAATTATTTAATACATTCATTCGTTTGAAAAAATTGGTTTGCAGTTTTAAAAGTTGATTATATATTTTATTTAAAAGAATGAAAGTAAGATTTATTTATATTTTGATACTTGAGGACAAATTGCTATGTAGATGGATTACTACTTAAATGAGCTAAAAAGTAAACGGTACATGGCATAACATGAAGTCATTGATTATTCTGTGTAGGAAGCAACGTATAATCTAAAAACAAGGGAGATAACCAAAGTTTTCTAAATGAATATTAGGTTAGTTTATGATAAGAAGACTCAAAATCGATACGTACTAATTCCTTTTCTAAACAGAGTAGCCGCCACAACGGTAAAAGCAGGAAGCGTAAGTCTGAAGAGATAATTAGAGAAAGGAAAAGCCATAAACAAAAAACACTTACTTATAGCACTGGCGTAGTACACTGCAAGCACGGCCTTTATACACCTGTCTATGCTGATTTTAAAGAGAGATAAGCAAGGGGAGGGACTTCAGAGATGGAATGGTGAGTTTACCAGAGTGTAATTGCAAAAGAAGTAAGCCCAGACGTTTATTCAGTTACATGGTTACGAGAAACAAGAACGAATAGAAGTAATTTTTTTTTTAAAAAAAAACTGATTTATTGAGGTAAAAAGATAAAAAATAGATATTAAAAAAGAAAAAAGGAAAAAGGAAAATGAAAAAGAAAAGGAAAAAAAAAAGACTCCGTTTATATGTACTTTTTAGAGGTTGGTGTTACGACGGAGGGATGACTGGAGGCAGATAATTTTTTTGTATACGCGGCTTCTTGACAACAGGACACTATGACAAATACTCGTCTGCTTCAGGTAAATGGAATGAATGAGTAATTTTAAGTGGATCTCAATTTTTATTCACCCAATCTGGGTAAGTATCCGCCCATAGACGAATGCTCGTCTGCTGCAGGTAAATGGAACGAATAAAGTAATTTTTATTTACCCAATGTGAGTAAGTACTCGCCCATAGACGAATACTCGTCTACTGCAGGTAAATGGAACGAATAAAAAAGCTTAAATTTTTGTGCAACGTTTATATTTTACTCAAAATGAACGAACAGTTACCCCTGGACGAATATTTGCCCTTTTTGAGTAAATGAAGTAATTTTATTTTTTGTGTACCATTGTTTATTTACCCAAAATGAACGGATACTCGCTCACGGACGACTATCCGCTCAGATTTGAACGGATGCTTACCCCCAGACGACTATTCGCCCATTCGTCCGCATTTACTCTGTTTAAGTAAGTTTTTT